ATCAGCCGCTTCCATTACCATAGTACAAAAGTTTTTGGCTTGTTTGGTTTTGTTCCGAGGAGAGTATGGCCTCCAATGCCCTAAAATCCTTGTCAAGTTGGTACCGTAATCCTACAGTAATGAAGGGCGATTGACGATGCGCTCCAAGCTGTAGATCTAAGTTAATCCTCGCTCTATAGAATGGTGCCTAAAGCTCGGCGAAAGATTTGAAAGTAAGGGAGTTATAAACAATCAAACAGTGTTCACATTTTTTGGGACACCCTGTATATCCACTTACCTCAAAATTTTCAAATGCCTACAGACTTTCGCTAGCAAGTCGGTCGTGACTATATCTTCATTTCTCACAATTTGCATGTTAACGATTTTTAGCAACAACTTCGCAAATTTCTCACAACTTGAAGAATTACTTGCTTCTACTAAAATGGTATGTGCGCTTCTTCAATCTAAATAATTGAGGATTTACTCTACTCCATTATAGAAACGATTTATTTTGAACAACACACAGCAATTATATGACGATCTGAATGAGCGGTTGGTCTTTCAAGCACTTATTCTAGGATTGAACCAATGGGAGGGCACTCACTGTCGTAACCTTTTGACATGTGATTCTACGTTAAAATGTTGCCCTTAAAACGCGAATCCCATAACTGAAATTTGTCATTTTTCGAACATTATCCGGAACGAATTATATGGGATATTCCTCCTCAAAAGCTGACGCTCCGGCGAAAATTGCGCGACTTGCTGGATAGTTGGATGCTTCAGATAACAAATACAGTTTCGGAATACCTTTCAAATGAAGTTTTTGTTTCATATCACATACAAAGGCTACGATCAATAGGCCTTTTCTCCTTATATGAAATAACGTTTTGAAAACGACTGTATAAGACTCAGTAATTATAGCGCAGCTACACCACTGAATCGGACAATGAATTCGAAATTGTTCCTGGTAAAAGAGGTAAGACTGACTCTAACAAGGGAAGGAAGGTTGGTCGAAGTGGCCTTTCAAAATGAGGTCCATTCTTTTGTAGAGCTTGGAACGCTGATTTCAAATCTACCTTTGCTATCTGCTGCGGGCTTCTGTGTGAGGAGTTATGAAGATTTTTGTGAGCAAAAATCCATAGGCAAAATTGATATAAAATCAGTCGTAATCTTTTCCTAATGTTCGAATGAGGAAGCAGCGAGTTGGTATATTTAATTCAAAAATATTTATTGCATCGAGTGACTCTGCTATCAATCAGGCTCTAGAAAAAATGTTACGACTGATTTTACACTAATGTTGCAATTGATTTTTTACTCACAAAAATGCTCATAACTCCTCGCCCAGAAGCCCGCAGAAGATAACGAAGGCAGGTTTGGAGTCAGCGTTTCAAGCTCTACAAAACAGTATACATCGCATTTTGAAAAGCCACTTCGACCAACCTTCCTTCCCGTGGATTTGCTTCGAGCAACAAAAGAGGGCAGGACATTTGCACTTTCCACTGTGCGGAGAAGATAAAGTTTATCTTGTCCAAAGAATGAGTCAAAATTGGAAAATCCGTTGGTTGCGGATGTGATGCACTTTTCCTTGATAGTGTGATGACAAAGTTCGTTTCGTCGTTGGCAGAAAAGGAGGAATCGGTACCTTCCGTAAGCCCAAAAGACCCTATAGGCTCACACACTCTGCTGTACATCGCACTTCGATACACAATATAATTTTCACCCCACTTTGAGGTGCATGCCATACGAAAAACCGAATAATCTTAATCGAGTAGCTAGTAATCTTCTAAAGGCAAAAGGTGAACAGTTTTTACGTTTCACTTTTCTCTATTTGAGACTAGTAGGGTTTTGAGCGAAAATCTAATAGCTCTTTTGTCACATCGAGCGAGTTCCTTATTAGCTAAATTCTTCATTTAAAGATTTGGCTTAGAAAAAGCTGACGTTTACTCCAAGCTAGGCTTCCAAAACACCTGTAAGAAAAAAAGACCATATAATACTCTTTCGGTATGAAAAACACAGTTTCGGCAAACTGTTCCTCATAATCTAGACGTTGTCGTTAAGCTGCGGCAAAGACCATCGTGGAAGAGATTTAGGCCACTATTATGTCAAAGCTTTTCATAGCCACAATTACCGAGTCTTTGTATGGCGACTCAATGACTCAATATTACAATTGATTTAGGACGTCTCAAAATCTACAAGCGTTTCCACCTCTGCAAGTGCTACAACATCAACACCTTACACAACGGACACATTGTCAACGGCGTCTTCTGAGCTAACCATCTCTATTGAAACAACGAAAGACATTGGTGCAAAGTACAAAATGCCGCTCTACGGCGTGCAGTTCAAATCATTGAGAAACATGTCATTAGCATACATCATACATGCATCCGTCGCTTCAACTAGAACGCTTGTGGACTTCAAACAGTTGATAACTAGGTAAGAAGTCACGGAAAGATCATTGCAAATGCTGCAGGGAGATCTCATTTCAGCGAAACATGGAGTATGAGTTTACGAAGTTCGGAAAAGATACTGGCAGATGAAGATTTAGAAACACAGCAATGCATTATTGACGCATTGTTGAAATCTTATCGAGAGGTATTGTTCATAAACAAGTTTGGTCTACACGAAAGCATATTCTAGGAACGCGGGTTGCGCACTCGAAAAATCACACTCAAACCAGTAAGCGTGACGAAAGTGGGACGTAGATATGAAAGATCATTCATCTTCAAAATATGTATGTCTACATATAAAGGGGGTGGCATTTCTCAACGCTCAATTTAGACATGATTATCATCGTATCAGTAATTGCTCTGTTGGTCACTTACAATGTTTCATACGATGCCAGAATGAAGGCAAGTCCACATCTGATCATAGTTTATTTTTCCTTCATTTGTCCTCATTTCTATAATCCATACAAAAAACTCCACAGCTCTCTTTCCTATACTGCGAGGTTTTTTTTACTTCCCACTTTTTAAACACCGAAGTTCGAATTCGTTGCAGGGCACGGCAGACTTGACTGATGCAATCATCCTCCTGTTTTTTTCTTCGGTTTTTTTCTTCTGAGAATATGCAGGCATTCTTCTTCTGATAATATTTTTTCTTCAATCTCCGCCACTGAGTGGCCATGGTTATTTATTTTACTTTCGCTCGACGCTTACAAATAGATGCAGATAAGACATTACATATCCAATCCTCTGTGATTTGATGGCTTTTCTTCATTGATTAAGCGCACCAGCACGCATTTCTTCATTAATTGAGCGCACCAGCGTACTTTACACACACAAGCAGTTCAAAGCGCCGCTTCGCGGCGTTTTGAACTGGTTGTGTGTGTAAAGTAAGATGTGACTAAATCCAAAAGTTAGAACTTTCTTCCTTAAAATACGGTAAGATTTTTTGACACTTATTCTGGGAGATTAGTCAAGGGTAACGAATCTTCCCTCCTGTTAAGTTCCAGAGTTTTCTTAGCAAATGTCTCGACAGAATTTTGACTGCTCTCTCCCAACTTCTTTTATCCGCACCACTGTTTCCTCCATAACTCTTCACAGATAAGCTCATTCAATACAAACTATAAACAGTTGGAAAGGGTGAATAAAAAAACTCCATCGCAGCTTGCTTACAATTTTATCGCAAGTTCCAGATTTTTGACAGCCTAACATAAAATGACGAAGCTGAAATGATCTCACTCTCCCTTCTATCTGGTAAGCACCCATTATCAGAGATCAGCAAAGGTACTTTTACAAAAAGTGATATTCTCTAACAAGTAAAGTTTGTGCAAACCCATCGAGTGTTAATTCCTTGCCACTCTCCGGCCGGCTTTTGGGAGCTGCGAAATTCCAGCCCGAAAAGGGCCGCGGCTCGTTCGCTCCCAGTTCTGAAAAGTTGTGATTTTCAAGAATGGTGCAAACGAACTTTTGGACCAACCAGATACATGTCTTGCATTGCGCTGCCTTGTGTATTTTCTCAGTCCTAAGCACCTGAGTGCGCACTAGCTTGGAACTTAAGTGTTTGTTGAGGACTTTTTTGCAGACAAGTAAGCTTTGAAAATCTATAGCCATTTGTAGCAAAGGCATCAATGCACACCAGATGCACACAAAATGGTTAACAGTTGAGAGCATTTACCCCATTTAGATAACTTAGTTAGAATATACTGAATGGTTTCTTATCAGCAATAGCATAGTTTGTCTGTTGGAATTGTATCCGCTTTGAAATGGCTGCAAAAAAAACTTTCGCGTTTGAAGACTTGTTGTCCGCGGCATTTTAACGCGGGTATCATGGACTTGTTTGATTTAAAAATTCTAAAGTTTCTGTAATCTATGCTTTCTAGTAGCGGCATGCGGTGGTCGTAATACTTGTGAACCCCTATCACCACACGCAACTAAATTATCTCTTCGTCCTTAATCTCTTGTGAATGAGCAATGAAAAAGGTAGCTTTGTCTGCAACTTTTGACCAGCACTGTATGTGGGACAGGACAGTGGAACAAGATCTAACGCGTGATCTCAATCTAGCAAGAAGAAGACGGAATGAACATAGTCACAAAATGAAAATTCACACTTTCATGGTTTTGAACAAAAGAGAAGCACTTCAAAAAGTTTACTCATTATCATTAAGACTTTTTAGAGGTAACTCACTAATTTTCGCAAAGTTTTCAATCAATTCTGCAGAATTATAAGAGTCTGATTCAGAGCGACCGAATGGCCTTGATATAGGCATTTTTTCGTTTTTCCTCTTTATAATATGTGCTTTATCTTCTTTGAAGGAGCATAGTGTTAATACGCGAGTAGACAAAAGCTCATACATGCAGGGATGAGAGCAACAACTCGCATTCCCTTGAACTTCCCCTGTTCATTGTTCTGACTGCGACATGTCGCGAAATTAATAGCCTGAATGAGTCTCAAGACTCGTAATAACGCTGCTGTGGATTTGAGTTTGTAGATATCTTAAAGATAGACAATGACAGCAAAATCTTTTAGAAAAGTCTTTCATCTCGCTTTAGGAATTTCTCCTCATTATGAGTGCGCAAAGAATGCCTCTACTAATGACTTGTATTGTTGGTAATTATGTGAAAGCTTTCATTACTCTGGTGTTGGTCCATATATTGCCTTGGATTCTAGATGATGTATGTCACTGTACGCAGGGAACGTTGTAAGTTTTCTTTACCAGTTTAGGAGTCTCCCCTTTTTGTAACGTTCATTGCTGTGGAATTGCTTGGTTTCAATGCTGTTGTGTTTGGAGTGTTTTGCGGTACCGTATATGAATCCACCGTTAGTGCTCTGAAATGTGAGCTCTTTCAATATATGCATTACTGACAAAAAAAATTGACATAAAAATTATTAGTTCGGTGGCAAATTTTTAGAGACTATCGCAGACAAAGTAAGCCATTGCAACATTCCCTAGCACTTGCCGCTTCTTCAGCAGGTGATCTGCCAGCACTGCGTTGCTTGGCGTGCAAACGTCTTTTTCTTTTTAACATTTGTTGCTTCCCACATGTAAAAGTAAAGAATAAAGGATTCGGCGTCCCCGTCCGCGGGCATGCGCCGAACGCACACTACTTCATAGATGAAGAGGCAATTGTATGCGTGCGAGCCTATTAGAGCGACTTGCGAGGGTTAGCCGATTATCAAGCAAGTGCTTTTATCCTCCCAGATTACTCTGGTACCAATTTACCATCCCCGGAGGGTGAAGAGTTTGCTTGGCCCAAGGGCGGGTCGAACCTGGGTCCGATCTGATCATAGCGGTGCCTCTGTCACCACGCCACTCCCCTCTTCTCGCTTCCAACATGAACTGACAGTAATTTTGACACCCTTTGATTCAACGGATTTGGCGGATGGAAGGCGGAGCTTCGAGGCCTAATTAAAGGCAGCGTCCCACCAGACGAGGGTACCTGGCCCTGGTAGTAATGTAATAGTGGACCCCCCCCCCCCTCCCCTAACAAAGCGACGACAGAAGTTTGCAGCGCGAAAGGGGGTCTACAAAGCTCCCCTCAAGTGGCCCGAATTTTACGGTAGGCTCGGGCGAGTGCGAGGTGCATGCAAGGTAAAGGCGCAGAGTCGTTGCGGGACCCTGCGCTCATGACTGTGTGCGCTATACGCGCTCTGGCCCCGCAAATCGATATTGCTGTGTGGGCAGCGTCCGGGCCTACCGTAAGATTCGGGCCACTTTCGGAGCAAATTTCAGGCTTGGTAGACCCCCTCTTTCGCTCCGAACTTTAGTCATCGCTTAGGTAGGGGTTCTACTTTAACATCGCCACAAAAACCCGGCACCCATCTTCTTGCCGGGACCTGCATTTGAGGCTAGAGAATGGTTAGAGAGCACACCCACCAGAAAAACACAGACACCTAACTCACTGGACGCGTCTTTTGAAGCTAAGTCCAAATCTGCTATTCTATGCTGCGAAAGAGTTTGTAGTTATGAGTGTTCTAAGTTCCGAATTTGTCTTGCTAAAAGTTGCACAAAATTAGCGAGCAACTGTACAAAAAACAGCTGAGAGTAAGTAATCAAATTCGCCTTAAGAGTGTTAATTACAGGGAAGGAGCATAGGCTGCGAAAATCCGCATAGGTTTTGTAGAGCTTATTGCTGATTCTGCGTCACTTACAGCACGACAAATTTTGGTCTTCAAACGCTCTTAACTTCCTTCGGAGAATCCTTTGAAGAAAAGGAAAGATTGATAGGACAAATTTTGGTCTTCAAACGCTCATAACTTCCTTCGGAGAATCCTTTGAAGAAAAGGAAAGATTGATAGTATGTTCAGAAACGCGTCTGGTGATATAGGTGTCAGAGAAAGGGCAACTTCGATTATTGAGGCTTTCCTCGTTGGATTCAGGTGCAATTATTTACATCTTGTCTGTGTCTCTGTTTTTTTCGCTAAAGCGTAAGCCAGCAATGTATCTATTAGGTTGGAAACTAAGTTTTGCCACTCACTAAATAAACTTGCTTATATTAGATATGAAGCACTCAAATTTTGCCAGTATGTTGTCTATAGCGTAAGCTACAAGCTTAGGCTGTTCCGCCAAATTCTACGTCGCAGTGAGGATTACGGTAGGTATATGGTATAAGGGGGAAAATTGCAAATCATTATGGATTTGGCTGAAACTTGGCATAAGGGGGTTTTCCGAATGCCGATCACGAATAACATGCTGAATTTGCATGGTAAGAGCTTTTTCGTAAGATTGCTGTAATTTAATGGTTTGGGGTCTCAATCTTTAACAATAGGACAGACTTCGATTTAACAAACGAAAATGATATTCGTGTTAGCAGGTCGAATAACCTCACTATGTGAAGTCTCTGCGGATTTTGACGTTCCCACTACTTAGTCATTGATGGTTGTCCCCACCAACCTTGTGTACTTCAACTTTGTGAAGGGCTAGAACTCGACTTGCCTTTCAAATCTATTCCTTTTCTACTGAGCCAAATTAGTCAACCACGAGTAATAGTTCAAATACAGTTCCGGATCATTATGCATGACGTGAGTCGCAAACGGCTTCATTTTTGCTTAAAACCTCATAATTCCTTGAAATTTACTGTTTTCGGAAAAATGTTTGTAATTTTTCTATTTCCATTTGAAAAATTGAACAATTTGTGCATGGTTGTAGCACACATTGAAATCTACATATAGTCAAAGTTTGAGTGCAACACGTTCAAAGAGTTAAGTTATGGAAGCAGTTGCAAAACTTAGTTTCCAACCTTGTATATTTTGTTCTTGCGGCGTACCTTTTGATTCAACTGGCTTGGCTGCTGGAAGGCGGGGTTTCGTGAACCGAAGGTCAACTAAGGCTAGATAATGATCTCTCTTTTACGCGCGAAAGAGACGCAGACGCATCGCGGGCGCGAGCGACCTCTCACAAAGCTCCGCCTTCCAGCCGCCAAGTTAGTTCTGAAGGTTACCACTTAGTTTCACATTATAAGTAAATGCATATAATCATATTCTTTTGCAAAGTTTGGTACGCAGATAAATGCTATTTTGAAACAAATTTTGGAAATCATGTCCGTCTCTGATAGCAACTATCTAGCCAAAATTCTATTTTCAGTAGCGATCGTGCTTTGGCTTATACTTTTGTATTTTGCCCTGCAATCGCCGAGAATTAACGGCAGATACTGGCTTGTCAGCATATGTCACGCTAATCCTATTGCGGCATTCAAGAACATTTTTGAGGCTCTGCCCTATTTTGAACTGAGAGGTGTTGTTTTGCTACAAGTCACGCCGGTCACTCTTATCTGAAACTTAGGGACCCGCGTCACAATATCAACTTTATACGCATACACTGACGTGGTTACACCGGGTTCATCGTTAATTGCGTTAGCCATAGATGGGATTTGTGTGATAGGGATAACAATGATAGTAGACAATGTTGAATGGTCTTACGTTAGATCCAGAATTGCTGCGCTGATAAGGAGGAAAGAATTGGTATGATCATTGTTACCGATTCAAATTGTATGAAAAACATGATGAAACAGGAGCAATTAAAAAGTCAAACTGAAAGACATTCATGGCATCAAGACGAAGAAGTTCGTGAGGGAAAAGCCGACATCGATGCTGAAGATGTAGCCAAAGTTTGGGAAACGAGCGGAGAATTGTCTGTTTACAGATTTGAAATAAGGGCATATCCTGGAGAGGTATGGAAAAGATTGAATACTATTAATTAGTGTGATTTTATTAGGTCAGCATCATTCTTGGACATCCGGGAGCGGGAAAGACGACCACTTATAGGATGATGTGCGGAAGTATACGACCTACACGAGGTAAAAATGCTTTGATGCACACTTTCAAAACTTGAACACCTTGCTAGTGCAGGTCGCATCAAAATTTTGGATAAAGATATCTTTAGCTATAGAACTTTATGTCGTACAAAAATAGGATTTTGTCCTGATAAAATCATGCTATACGATGAGTTAACTGCAACCGAGCATCTGTGGTTTTTCTATTTCATGAAGCGACCTAGAGCTATAAAACTGAAAGGTAAATGGCGAACGGAAGCCGAAGTGCTGATACAAAGTCTCGACATGGACAGTTTTAGAGACCGGGTAATCATTTTGCCACGAGCTTACAACATTCTTTTATATTAGGTTGTTACATAAGTCTTGTTACACTTAACTTCTAACGGCGATAAGTCATACACTTCATAGTCATTGCAGGACTCCAAGGTACCATTCAATAGAGCAAAGCAAGCCCTATAAGATAGCATGCAAAAGTTCGCACCAGCTCCGACCCACCGTAAGTTTGCATCCAAAATCTGAGTAGTACTGAAGACTCAAAAATTGCGAAAAATTCATATCTTCGTTCAGAAAAATCCTACGAATCTCCAACTTGCTCACAAAAATTGCCCACTATATCGAATACTCATATGTACCGTTGCTGTATTTTTTCCTTGTCTAGAAATCGAGAAAAAGAAAATTTTTTGTTTTTACAAAAACGAAGCTATGCTGTTTCTATTCGTGTACCTGTATACCACAAGGTCTTACAAGTATAACCTTAAATTTTCAGCTTTTCATAAGCCCCAGTTTTCGAAAAATACCAAATTTAGCTTCTTCCACTCGGGTGGTCAATGCTAAATTAGATAATTTCCGAAAACTAGAGCTTCTGGAGAACTAAAAATTTACGGTTACACTTGTAAGGGCTTGTAATATACAGCTACATGAATAGAAACAGCATAGCTTCGTTTTTGTAAAAACTAAAAAAATTTCTTTTTCTCGATTTCTAGATAAGGAAAAAATACAGTAACGGTACATATGAGCGTTTGATACAGTGTGCAATTTTTGTGAGCAAGTTGGAGATCAGTAGGATTTGTCTGAACAAAGATATGAATTTTTCGCGATATCTTGAATTTCAGTACGACTCATATTTTGGGGGCAAACTTACGGCGAATCGAAGCGGGTGCGAACATTTGCATACCTTCTTGTAGAGCTTGCTTTGCTCTATCGAATGGTACCTTGGAGTCCTGCAAAGACTATGAGGTGTATGACTCATCGCCGTTAGAAGTTAAGTGTAACAAGACTTATGTAACAACCTAATACTTGTTCATTACAATCTTACAGCTTGTTTCACAACTGTCACCATGTCAAAAACGCAAGCTCAACGTGGCTCTAGCTTTCGTTGGGGGTAGTCGTATAGTATTTTTGGACGAACCAACCATAGATATGGATCAACCCGCAAAAGAATGTTTGTATGAGCTGGTCAAGCAGCAAAAGGACTGCAGGTAGCTGTGAACAAAATCATCAAAATCGGTTGTCAAACTCCCAGATCATCTAATAATAAGAGTATTCAGAACAATAATGGTCTCAACACAGAATATGGAGGACGCTGAGGCAATGGGCCAGCAGCTATATGTCATGTATATGGGTCGCACTATCTGCAGCGGTGATGTAAACTTCATCAAATCATCGTAAGCTTTTTCTCAATAAGATGCAGATTAGCTAAGATTGTAAATTGGATGCACAAAATGAAGAAATCTTACGTACCAAGAATAAGGTCAAGAAGATATGGCAAAAAAAGTTATGAAAGATTAAATCGAAGGTAGTATGATGCACTATGTTACACTTTGACAGCACTAATGGCAATGCGTAAATGTGCATCGTATGCATTGGCAGACTGCGAATGTAGCCAACAATAAATCACGAAGAGGACATTATGTCGCCGATTGGTCGCACTCGCAAGATCGCCACTAAGACCAAACGTTACACATCTGTCTTCATCAGTTATCAGCCACATGGTCAGAGCGAAACATCCCTCACCTAATTATCCTCCCCTACCCATTCTCTTATCTCTACAACATTTGTAAAATGAAGATGATGAACTTAGAAGCAGCGTCCAGGCAAATCTGGATATATGTGTCTCACGTGAATAAGTAAATAGGACCCTAACTAAGCCACTGCCCAAGCGCGGCAGCGCAGTCGACTCACTAAAGGCTGAGAGGTACGCCTCCAAATTGGATCCCAGGATCCTATTTCTCATAGATTCATGGCGCAACCTATCAGTTTGGCGTGGGTCCTCGCGCGAAACTGATGGGTTGCGCCATGAATCCATGCGAAATACGATCCTGGGGTCCAGTTTAGAGTGGTATCTCAGCCGTTAGAGCACTACCTGAGCTGCCGGTTGGGCAGTATCTTAGTTAGGGTCTCAAAATTACTATTCACATGAGATCCCATATGTCCAGATTTGCCTGGACTCTGCCTTCAAGCAGTTGAAAATTTTGCGTATCAACCGTTCCATTTTCTAAAACACTTGCCTTCACCTTCACCGTGTTACAGGTTTGGTACGGAATATGTATTAACCGTAACGACCAACGAACAGAATGTTCAAGAGACAGTTAAAAGGCTCGAAGAGGTGTGCAAAAAGACAAATGATACGTTTCATACAGCAGAGGCTTGCAGGGTATCACCGGAATGATTCGTGGGGCAAGAATAAGATCTAAGGAAGGGGAACAAATACGAATTGAGCTTCCAAAGGATCAAGAGAAGAAGTATGAATGAAGAAAATGTTTCATTCACATGATAATAAGTTTTACAACTAACTGGTATACATCTCAGTTTTCCTGAAATGTTTGCCAAGCTTGACGAAGAGCAACAAATGCAGTACGTAAAGGATTATAGATTGACATATGGCATTATCGAAGAGACATTTATGAAGTGAGTGTGTCAATCTGTGAATCAATTAGCATGCTGGCATTGGTAATGGCCGTCTTAATGTTTCAAAGTTTCAGAATGGGTGAGACAACGGAAGTAAATCGTAGCATAGAAATGGAACCTCTCGGTTCTGAACCGACTACTGCTTTTAGGGGTATGTGTAAGAAGGATAGGTACCAATCGGATTGTGTATTGTTCAGCCCATCTCTGCATATGGCAGTTCATATTCCTCATTTGGAAGAAGATACTTTTCTCTTTGTTCCATATTCCGCTTATTCTTTTTCAAGTCAGAATATTTGAGTTCATCGAAGTTCAAAAAAAATTATGATTTCAGCTTGTGCTTCCTGTCTTAGTTTCTGTATACCTCGGTTACTCAATGTCCATTGATGCAGAATTGCCAAGCGCAAAAGGTTCGTTATAAGAGCAACTAAAAATATTTCGAATGGGTAAGCAGAGACGATTGGATAAATTGACTGAGACTTTAGAAAGTCTATTTTCCGTTGCTATACAAAAATAACCTGCCGTCCCTAATTTCAACAATAGCCTGGCCAACAGCATCCTGGCTGTGGTGGGCACACAATACATTTCTGTAGGTGAACAGGATACGCATTGATGGTGGTTTGACCTGTCGTTTGTGACTCATCTTTTTGCCCCATCCGCCTCCTTCAGTAGAACATTAATCACAGGTAATCGCGGCGCTACTGTCGCTTAAAGGTTGCCACTGAAGCAGGTGTGTACACATATACTAACTTCTTTCTTTGCGCCGCCTGCGTACAGTCAACGTTTTTGTTCGTAGAAATATGACGGGGTCTTCTGTCTTCTCAGCCGACTCCTCACACGCCCATAGAAAGAGCCGTCGGCGTTGGAATTGGTGGACAGAAAGACGTTCACGGTGCTTCGCTCAGCGTGGTAATGAACTAGCGACTCCCATCAGGAATATATAGAGTGATTGGTTTGCCGGTTTGGCCCAATTCCGAAGGCCCTGTTCTGCCCACGAAGCAAACCAATCACTCCATAAATTCCTGCACTAGGCTAGTCGGAGCTGCTGACACCAGATATACTTAGCATTTTAGCCTAATAATAAAATACTTTTTCCATAAGCTATATTAGTATATCATAACATAACTTTACGTGTACTTCAAAAATGTGTTTGCACAGTTCGAAAGGGAGGGACTACCCGGCAGCCGCTTGGTGCCGCCGCCAGCCGCCAGAGCTGGCGCCATCGCGTAGCTGAGCTACAGCAAGCCGCACAAACTCTTGCTGAGAGATCTTCACAGCAGCCTTGCACCCGTCAACGTGAGATGACGAAACTGGGTGGAGGAACGAACACCTGAATTAGGCACCACCTGGCGAGCTGGAGGATTTAACACGATGCACGACAGTAGGATGAAAGGACAGCAGCGTGCGGCGGTGAAATGAAGTGTTCGCTCCTTAATTCCTCAACCCGCCAAACTTTTCTTAGGAATAGAAATTGCAACAAAACGAATATCTAGTTGCACCGCAGATTTACATCTTATTCTAAGTGGAAATCAATATGAGACAGGGAATGCGAGGAAACAATATAATCATCGTTTTGAACATCGGGCGTAAATGGGACATATCAAACTTTTTCCGGTGTAAAAGAAAACGAACTGTGGAATAAATTTTTAGGAAATCTCAAAACAATTAATTGTACAGTTTTCTTGTACAATCAATCGTGAAGTCTAAAGTAGAAAGGCTTCAAATATGTTTGGTTATGTGAAATGTGTACAGCAAAAACCGCTTGGGCAGATCAAACTGCCATATACGCAGGTATGAAAAGTGAAACACATTTTCCGTAAAGAGGCATCACTCGTCACAAACACTGGGTAACACTTGCTATGCACCCCATGAGCTTGTTAATCTTATGAAAAGTAGTATAATCAGCATTGTGAGAAGCCAGGCACGCGACCGATTTTTTGTAAGCTTTCTAATATGCCACCTGTTCCACAATGGCGCTGTATGTTGCTACCGTGATATGCATTCGGCATTTTGCTGCACACTGTAAGCAATGCCGAAGCAACGCCTAATCTTGTCATATAAGAGGGTTACTAGGGATCAGTTCAATACATTTTTGAGACACCCTGTATGAACTTTAAAGTCGCTGAGAATGAGAGCAAGGAGGATACTAAAGAAGGAGAGTTCCCAAGTCATCTCGTCCAACCCGGATGAGTCATATATCACCGTAACGGGCTTGAAATGCTGATTCCGAATCTGCTTTCCTTTTCTGCGGAGCGGCTTTCCGAGACAAGTTATGAGCGTTTAAAAGTTTAAATTTGTCATGTTTTAAGTGGCTTAGAATTGGCGAAAACTGTACAATAGAATATGAAAGTGATTTATCAGTTTTGTATCAAGTATATTGATTACAAGGACGGAACACAGGTAGTAAAATTCCGTTAGGTGTTGTTTTACAGCTTTTAACTGATTTTAAGCCACTTTGAACATGACAAATTTAGACATTTAAACGCTCATAACTTCCCTCGGAAAGTTGCTCCGCAGAAAAGGAAAGCAGATTTGGAATCAGCGTTTTAAGCCCGTTACGGTGATATATGATTCATCCAAGTTGGCCGAGCTGACTTGGGAACTTTCCCTTGTAAGATCCGCACTAAGCTAATAATAAGGTCAGTGAGAAATAAAATGAAATTCAGAAAAGCATTGTTTTGCGAATCTGAGAGGAGAATCATTTTCCAGTGTTTTGAACGGCGTTGCAGAATTTTGCAGAAAATGATGAGGATACAAGTTCGACGGTAACTGCCATTTAGCACCGCTCTTTCTCTCCGATAACCTTTTTTGTTCTACTTCTTGCCTAGATCAGCTTGGTAATATTATAGAAAATTACAGTAGAATTATTTTTACGAAAATCTCTTAGTATAAAATTCTTTTATTGATTGAACATGAAATAGTTTGTCACTGTGTCCAAAAAGAATTGAGAGAAATAGCACAGTCGTGTCTCAGCCCATTGCCCGCTAGTTGCAGGCTAAGCAAATGCTCTAAACTCAAACTCAGGGTATCGAGTGCTTCTTACGAAATTGAAAAACTTTGAAAATAAGGGTGAAAAAGAAAAAGGACGGAAAACTAGTGATACTTAGACATGAGAAAACGTGGATTTTTATCGATTTGTACTTTATTAAGAAGTGAAGTTCAAATTTAGGAAAAATATCTTTGCAATCATTTGGTCACGGAAGATTCCTCATTTTTGATCCCCAAAATGCTAGCGAACAGAAAAGCACGATAAAGAAAGTGCTCCGGAAGTATCCGCGGATAAAGGTGCTCTTACGAAATGAATGCTACTGCTCTAAAATTTGATTACAGGTGTTAACTTTCTATGGCTCCGATAATGAATCAAAGTGGCCTACTGACTGGCCATGGGTCGTCGGAGGTGTCCGAATAAAGAATTCTCGGGTCAGATTTTGGATGATCACTAAAAACTAGTGATTTATTTGAGACAATGCGTAATAGAAACGACATGATTTGACATTTTGGCAGGCTAAGAATTTTGATCTACGCTCTAATTTCCGGATTTTTTTAATGGGAAAAGGAATGGTGCACTGATTCTTTCCTGCGACCATCTATTTTAGGACAACGCAAACATGTACGAATTTATCGCACCCGAATATATATCCCTTTCAAAACTTTATATGCTGCATTTGGCGAATGATATATTGTATAATGGTGCATCATCCTCATTCCCTGTCCTTGCATATAAAGTTGCGCGTTTTTAGGGAGTCTTCAATGGGATCTCGAAGTTGAAATGAGGCTAAGGAAAGATAGATTTACCAGAAGCGAATTTGTGCTGGTGCCGTTCATGATGATGCTTATGCATATTCTTCTGACATCATCGTTTGCTGTAACACCAGCTGAAGAACAACATAGTCATTTCAAACATATGGCAGGTTTTAACATTTCACCCTTTGCGAATGGAAAGGTAATATCATTTTCATTTTCAGCAGTTAACAACCGGATTGAACATATTTCTTTATTGGCTTTACACCATGTTCTACGATATATTCGTGGCGGCTTTGATGTGTCTATTTTTTATGTTTGTTCTCTTCTTGTTTGATTGGACACTCTCTATGACCTTTTAGTGAGTACTCATGTTGTTCTCTCTCTGCTCGGACTCATACAGAGGAGAAAAACAGGAGAAGGTTGCGCAAGTGCGGAAGAATCATTTACATATCTGACGAAATTCAAAAACCGCAAGGGTACTCAATGACCGTTACCCTTGCGGTGAGATGTATGACAGTAGATGCGTTAAGGCGCTGATTCCAAATCCATGTTCATTCTCTGTTGTGCGACTCTTTGAACTACGTTTTGGATTTTTTCCATATTAATTTCGCGATTTGAGCACTCAGAGTTGTCACTATCCAGGCTTTCTAGAAACTGATTTCTTTGACGCTCTTTTGTAGTGCTTAAGTAAACTTCTAAAAATTTTGGTAAATCTGCCATCAAGACAGTGCAGATTCTGGTGGCAAGAGTTCATAACTTTTTTTTCGGAAAAGCGCAAAGCAGATACCGAAAGCAGCGTGGGATGGATCAGCGTTTTTTCAAGATGCATTAATAGTGTAAGTTTCATTCCAAAAGGGCATGGTCACCAAGTATCCTTCCCTTGTATGTCATAAGAATTTCGAAACAAGCAGCAGCCTTTGAAGTAAATCTGAAATTAATTCATAGTGAAAAAGCTCAGTGCAGTTCCATTCATAGTCACATAATGAAATCTTCAAGCTTTGGTAGACCAGTCGGTAATCTCGATTAGTTGTAATGGATTTGGAATCTCAACGTCGCATATCAACAAACACTATTTTTGAGTAACGCAAGAGTTTGTTCATTTTGGAAAAAATTTTGGAGAGACTCTTTTGGACACGATTTGATGTCAACAGTTTGCTCACTTATGTTACTACCAGTGCGTCACCTCTGCTTCGCAGAGGCTCGCACTGGCTCTACTGTCTAGGCCCTACTCATTCTCGCATAATGATGGCATTGGAACTCACCGAGCAATGCCGACTATCACGAACAAAATGTAAACAACTACTCATTCCGAAAGCTTTTTTATGTGAAAACGGTGGTTTCGCGTGGATGAGACTTTTTGCAGGAGAACAAACCCAAGTTTTTATAGGTTTTTGATTTTACCATGGTCTTGACAGTTGCAATAAGAACAGCAGTCACCGTGAGATATATCTTTGTGCAAAAATCTCGCCAAATGCTCTGGTAGAATCTTGACAAATTGACCATTTACTCAACCAATACTTTTTAGCGCCGTTTTTGCAAAGTAATAGACTTTTGATCACATTTTTGGGCCTAAGTCCATGACTTGCTCATTTACTTGCTATGAACATTCACGACTTTGCAAAAAGTGGAATTACGGACCCAATTTTGGGGGCCAAATGCAAAGTGGATCCGTTTGACGCGCAGTTTCAGAGGGGTCCACTTAACGAATCTGCTCGTGCTTTTGCTTGCTGGACTTTCATGCGGGTAGCATGCGCTGTGCAAAATTTGAGCCCAGGAGGTTGGCTGGAACACGCTTTACGAATTTCGTGACAGACAGAGATTCACACACACACACAGACAACGTAAACAACCCCTTAGCCCGTTATTATAAGTTACCAGTGCTTCACCTCTGCTTCGCAGAGGCTCGCACTGGCCCTACTATCTGTATGCCTTACTCATTCTCGCACAATAATGACATTGGAACTCACCACGCTATGCAGGCTATCACGAATGATTTGTAAACAACTATTCATTCTAAAAGCTTTTCCATATGAGATCGGTAATTTCGCATGAACGGAACTTTTCTCGAAAGAACAAATGCAAATTTGAATCGGTTTTTGGACTTTTCATGGCTTGATATTCGCGATAAGATGCCATAATCACCGTGGGCTACATATCTGTACAAAAATCTTCTCAAACGATCGGGTAAAATCTTGGCAAATTGAACATTTACGCAACCAATTCCTTTTGGCGCCGTTTTCGCAAAGTATTAAACTTTAGTTCAATTTTTTAGGCTAAAGACCATGGCTTGCACATGAGCTTGTCAAACATATCCGTGAATTTGCAAAAAGTTGCGCTACAGACTCAATTTTACTGGCCAAAAGCCAAGTGGATCCGGTTGACGCGCATTTTCTGAGGGATCCAGACAATGGATCCGCTCGTGCTTTTATGTGGTAGACTCACATGTTGGTAGCAGGCGCTGTGCCAAATTTGGGCTCAGGAGGTTGGCTGGAACTCGCGCTATGAATTTCGTGAGAGACAGATATTCAGACACACACACACAAAAACACGCAAACAACCCTTAGCTCGTTATTATAAGTTACCAGTGCGTCACCTCTGCTTCGCAGAGGCTCGCACTGGTCCTACTCCATAGTTTTTTACCAATATCTTCTCTTAAGAAAGGCAAAGTGTAGCACGCCCACAGCAGGTATGGCTCTATGCACTCCATGAATATCGTCCTTGCGAGTCTGCGCGTCCATGCTTGTCCTCAAGCTGAACAGCGCCCTGCCCTTATCTCTCAAACTGCTTTCAACCTCTCCGGAAAATTCTGATCGTGAACAATATGATGTAAGCAACCATTCATTCTGCGAGGTTTTCGTGTGAAACCGGTAAAATTGGCGTGGCGAAACTTTTTGGTGAATAGTTAGTGTAATTTTGAATCCGTTTTATCAATGCGATGCTGGCTAATTAGAACAACAACAGATGCACACTACATTCCCATCTATACAGTGAGTTCTTTGAAAATCAACAATCAATTGAGTCATCTCTTTTTGACGCCACTTTTTGCATGAAATTAACTTTTTGCTATGTATCTGCGCTGTATTCCAGATCTTAGAAGATGTCCAAGTTGAAAGTCTTACAGTTACTGCAGACTCTTCTTGCATTAGGATCTTTTGCCTTAGCAAATGCCTGGTGGATCCGTTTGACTCGCGATTTTCAGCGATTCGCTCACTTCTTCACATAGTTAACATGGGTGCTGCTCGCGTGCTGTAGGCAAAAAATCAGCTCGAAATCTTGGCTGCAGCTTGCGCTATGATTTACACATTCGCAGAGGCTCGCTGTGGTCCTACTCTGTACGCCTTACTCATTCATGCTTTATGATGGCATTGAAACTCACCGGACGATGCCGAATATCACGAATAAAATGTAAACAACTACTCATTCCTGAAGCTTTTCTATGTGAGAACGGTAATTTTGATTGGATGAAATTTTTCGCAGAAGAACAAATGCAAATTTGAATAGGTTCTTGAACTTTTTTCTGGCCGGATAGTTGCTATAAGGACAATAACACCCTGAGCCACATCTCTGTGCAAAAATCTTCTCAAATGTTCAAGTAAAACCTTGGCAAATCGACCATCGAGCAATCAATACTTTTCGGCGTCGTTTTCGTAAAGTAGTAGACTTTTGATCCCTTTTTTGGACCAAAGCTTATGGCTTGCACATTGAGATGCCAAGCACATCCACGACTTTGCAAAAAGTGGTGATATGGATTCGATTATGCGGGCCAAAAGCCAATTGGACCCGGCTGACGTGCAATTTCTGAGGGATCCACCTAACAAATCCACTCGTGCTTTCGCATGGTGGACTTTTATGCTGGTAGCATGCGCTATGCAAAATTTGGGCTCAGGACACTGCCTGGAACTCGCGCTATGAATTTCGTGACAGACAGATATTCAGACACACACACACACACAAAAACACGCAAACAACCCTTAGCCCGTTATTATAAGTAATGATCTTTATCTCACTTATCGCATTTGCATAAGACTGGTTTAAAGAAGGGCGCAAGATTAGAATTCAAGCTTCTCAATTACCGATCCTGTTCACTGTCATCAAACTCTTACCAACCTATTGCTTGAAAGAGGTCCCCTTCACTCAATCGTGGGAGCGCGAAAACAGTATTATTAAGCGAAGAAAGCAGCTTTTCTACACTGCTGTGACCTGCCTAATGCATTCTGTGCAAAGTAGAACCTCGTTTGCGCCCCAAGGTTTAGCGCTTCCAACCGGCAATTAGACCTTACTTGTTCAATCAGCACAAACTCTTCCGCTCAGCTAATTGATTGTTACAGCTCTGTAGTAGTTTTACTGATTTTGAGTGAGCGTGCTACGCTGGCTATCTACTTCAACATCCTTTCGCGATAACATTCAAGAAACTACATAAAGACAGATTACAAGTTCCACTTTCTTTAAACGTGGGCATTGATTGATTCTTCAAGTATTTGAGCCACGTAGGTTTATAGATGGTCTCTGATGATCCAACCACCACGTCCTAATGTTTCGACGACATTGTCTTCCTCTAAGGCAAGGGACATACCTCAAGCGATTTCAGTCGCCACGCGATCTGGCAATTTGCCATATGTTTTCAAATTCAATACTGGAAGACCTCAAATGCACAGCATGTATAACTTTCGTAGGTTGATAAAATGCCCCCTCTTCCGTACATTCACAAACCCCGTAGGATGAGTTATGAGCATTTGGAGTATTGCCAAATCGCGTGGTGACTGATATCGCGTGAGGTATGCCCGAGGCCTAAGGCTTGAAAGTATTTCAAAACGTCACTCGTGGTTCCAAGCTATCTACGTCTCCTAGTTCTGCTAGTTCTCGACTTTCTCTCAGCTTCCCTACTATAAAAATCCTCAGGCAAAAGATGAGCATACCGAAAGACCACCGCTGTTTATAATATCCTGCGCCGGAAATGATAGTCGCGGCGGAAGGGATAGACTATACCATATGGGATATCGAATTCGATCTACAGACCGCATAATATGAACGGAGAATCCGGATGATCAGAGGTCTTCTTCTCAAGAATCAACATCTTACATTTTTATGTCATCTCCAATATGCGACTCGCCTTTGTGCCTACCTAAAGCTGAAAATAGTGTTTTACGTCTTTTATCTGCCTGTTCTTTAATGCGAATACTAAGTGCTTTCCCGGTTTCCTCAATATAGATTGCATTGAGTTAAGGCATTTTTAGCATAAATCACTCCCACTTTCGCTCAATTGATGATTCCTGACGATTTTCATGCTGGGACAGCTGACAGAATGTCAAGAACTAGCAGGACTAGGCTGCGTGGCTCAAAACACTTGAACAGTACATAAAGACAGTTTCAAAGCGAACCTGTGTGATATAATGCGCTGGGGCTTCTTTGGGATTCTAAAATATTATCAGTGTACGGGACATCATCGATAACGGGAATTTAATAATGCTTTCATTGAAAGTATATGCTACTCTGGCAGTGGCGTGGCGCACTATAAGCCGTGGCCGTCTCTGTCGTGCACGAGATGTAGTAGTGAGGTCCAAGTATCTAATAAACTGAACATTTCAGAATTGCAAAGCATTTTTTCCACTTTTTTCCTTATGTCACCTTGACATTTATGAAAATGGCCATCTAAGAATAATTGTTTTAGTCCGCTTATGGTCATGTATTGTCTGATGTATCTGCCGTTAGCGTATCTGCTTTCAAGTTTCTTAAGCACACCTGGATATGCTTTTGTCTTGCTTGTTGTATTCCAGCTGTTTTCTTACATCCCGCTTTTTCTCGCAAGTGATACCATAAGATCTTGGGTATGAATTTTTGAAATTCGTGATTAGTAATTTTTATGTTATGATATGTCTCGTTAAAACTTAAGCGAATCAGCCGATCGAGAAATAGCATCGAGTGAATGTTTTGTCAATTCTTAAAACCCGCATTCCCCTTAATTTTTATATAAAAGAAGTCATTCACAAAATAAAAGACTCAATGTCCGCAATTTAGGTTGCTTATATTGCCTATGGATATCCGAGTCTTATATTCCTTTCAGCAATAATCGATGAAACAGAGAAGAGAAAGTTGTTTGACTTTTGTAAGATTTGGTCCTGGTTGTCTACAAATGACAAAAATATCAATCACATTCCAGCATATGTTACGTACATCATTGTATTAGCCAGCAACTGGTTGTTTTATTGTTTTCTGTTGTTTCTGTATGAATCGCAATTGCATACAGCAATTATTAGTGCCATGAAAAGGAAAACGTTTACTGAGGTTTGTTGAATTAATGCAGTTTACAAATCTAAGATGTCAACCATGTAAACCAATACACAAATCTAGTCTTTCGATGTCCCTTACGGTAACGACGTGATTGCTGAAAGAAATCGATCGGTCAGCCCAGGCGGTAACGCCACCGTGTTGGTCAGGGTTAGTAACATGAATTTTGGTTTTTGATACGCTACCCCGTCGCATTTTTTGACTTAGGATCTTGTTAAATTTCGCAAACAAGATTGTGTTTTGAAAAACATGGCATTTGCTATGGGGAATGGTGATGCCCTCGGTTTGATTGGTGTGCCTGGCTCGGGAAAATCAACAGCATTCGCTCTGATATCTGGAATTGAACGTCCTTCGAGTGGAAAAGTCCTGATAACAGGAAGACAGGCGCACAATTTACCGGTAGGTTATTCAATGGAGAGAAGACGCGCATCACTTACTGCTAAATTTATGAGAAAAGACTTTCCCCCTTTTTTCTTACAAGAAGAGATATGCAGAGTGATCCAAAAGTCTTTGAGCGTATTTTCGCTAAGATTTTTCGCTTCCAAGTCACAATTTGGATATAACTCTGACGTACAGTTGTCAATACTTTCGCAAAAATTATGCTGTGTCCAAAGTTCAAGCTGTTGGAACATAGTTAGTGACAAATCCATATAGCTCTTTTATCTCAACAGGTTTCGTGGTTTCTTTAGGTTTCGTATTGTAAGCTAAAACTCTAAATTTATATTTAGAGAGATATCGGTATTTGTTCCTCTGTAAGATTGAGATAAAACTCGCACTAGTCTCCCGCGATTCAGAAAAAAAATTAGTTAAAAATATTTATAAAATTCTCAAGCAAAAACTCGCCAAAAGCAGAAAACTTTATAAGCAACAATATGAGTCACTGATTCTAGCTGCGAAGCTTGCATTCTTTGCCAACACATCGTACGAAAGTTACGCCGGTTGAGCTGTTTCTTGACCGCTCAAAAATGATCCCAACACTTTGATACTTACTTAGATACTTAGATGGCCCGTCCTCACGTGACGTGCGGGCCCCAGTACAGAAGTCGCCAGTTTTCCCTGTCCCTCGCTTCAGACATCCACGATCTTCTTGGCCGTCGTCGGTGGCTGCGTCCACGAGTTCCAGGGACGAAAGTCGTATCCAGCTGATTTCTCAGCTGGTCCATCCGTTCCACGAACACGTCTGCCCATCTCATCGGTGGTCTTCCTCGAGGACGTTTGGCTTCGCGAGGAATCCGCTCCGATGTTCTTAGTGTCCATCTGTCGTCTGTTCTTCTCATTATGTGACCGGCCCATCGGTGTTTGGCTTTCGCGACGTATTCCGTTGGGTAAGACGGGACATTCTTCTCATGACCGTGCTGCGAAGTCCGACTAGATGTTGCTTGCGTCGGGTCATCTTCAGAAGACTGCGCTCGAGCGCTCTGTGGGTGGTCCGTAAAGCTTTCGACGTGGCTACAGTGTCGGCCCAAGTCTCAGCTGCGTAACAGAGCGCCGGGAGAACGGTTGAGTCGAACAGGTGGGCACGAAGCTCCGGGTCCGTCAGCTGGTCGGTGGCTTCTTCAGAGGCCCGAAGGCGGCCCAGGCTGCTCTTCTTCTCCTGTTAAGTTCTTCCCTCAAGTCGTTCTCCATGTTCATCGAACGTCCGAGATACACGTAGGAAGACGTCTCCATAATCTGGGTGCCTTCCAATTCCATTTCTTTCCAATTTCTTATCTTCGCAAAGGGCGTTCTTCATGAACTGAGTCTTCTTCCGATTTATTCGCAGTCCGATCTTCTTCCCTACTTCGTTTAGTTCCTTCAGCATCGTCTCTGCTTCGGTGATACTGCTCGAGAAGAGAACGATATCGTCCGCAAAACGAAGGTTGGACAGGAATCTCCCATCAACTCGTATGCCTCTCTCGTCCCAGTCCAGTGACTTCATCACCCACTGCAAGGCCGCGGTGAACAGCTTCGGCGAGATTGTGTCGCCTTGTCGGACCCCCTTCCCGATTGGTATGGTCAGGGGGCGATGGAATAGCTACATCGTCGTTGTACAGTCCTTGTAGCAGTCGGCTAACGTCCTCACGTAAGCTGGGTCCACTCCTTGATCGACTAGCGCAACAGGATGGCGTTGGTTTCGACGCTGTCAAAGGCTTTCTCGTAGTCGACAAAGGTTAGGACGAGAGGCAGTCGGTATTCCCGGCAGACTTCTATGACCCTCGAAACGGTCTGGATGTGGTCCATGCAGCTGAATCCTTTGCGAAATCCAGCTTGTTCTTGGGGTTGGGCTTCATCCAGTGTCCTTGATATGCGAGCGAGGATAATCTTCTTGTACAGCACACTCAGCAAGCATATTGGACGATAGTTCCGAAGATCCTCCCGTTCACCCTTCTTGAAGAGAAGGACGGTTCTTGACGTTCTCCACTAGTCGGGAATATTCTCCTTCTGAAGGTAAGATGTCAAATGCGACGCTAGAATCTCGTGTAGACGGTGTCCTCCGGCTCGCAGAAGTTCGACGGAAAGATGATCTGGTTTTGGAGCCGTGGACGTCTTCATGGTCTGTATCGCGATACGCACTTCAGCAGGTAGAATTCGTGGTGGTACTTCTCCAGTGAGAACAACGGGCATCTGCACGGGTGTTGATGAGCGGAAGAGGTTGGTGTAGAAGTTCTTCGCGATAGATTCCATCTTGTATCGGGAAGAAGTCGGAGTCCCGTCTTCGTTCAGTAGTGCAGCCAGCGGTACGTGATATTCGCAGAGGTCCCTTCGGCACTTCTTGAGACTTCGTCTTCTTTCGGCTGCTTCCAGTATCTTGGCTTGCCTGTACTTCCTGAGATCTTCTTGCAAAGCTGTTCTGCAACTGGTGTTGGCTATCAGTCGCTCGAGATGAGTTGCATTCGGATCCTGCCTCAATGATCTTCTTCTTTCGAGCAATTCATTGGTGGTCTTCAAGATGCGCTCCAAGTTCTTCTCAGAAGTCACTGAGGCGCATTCTCCGCAGGCTCGCAATCCTTTCAGAAGCCGGTCGTAGTCGTACGTTGGGTCCTCCTCGATGGGCCAGTCACAACTTAATATGAGCTCTTCCAGCCTGTTACCGTCATAAACGACTTCCTTCCTTCTCGTGGCACTATGACAGACTTTCTTTTCCAGCCTTCGGCTGAGTCGTATCTTCGCTCGAAGGAGGCGGTGATCGGAGCCACTACAGAAGGATGGAACTGCAGATCATCGAGTAAGCTCCACCTTCGGTTGGTGAGAATGTGGTCGATCTCAGCATGAGTCGTTCCGTTGGACGATTCCCAAGTCCACCGGCGATATTCTTTCTTCATGAAGATGGAGTTTCCATGGAAGAGTCGTGCGGCGGAGAGGAGCCCAACGAAACGGTTGCCGTTTTCGTTTCGGAGCCCATATCCAAATTTCCCGATCCTATATTCCTTTTCTAGTGGCATCCCGATTTTGGCATTGAAGTCGCCCACAACATACTTGTAGAAGGACTTTTCGTTGCGGACGACCTCCTCCACGTCTTCGTAGAAAGCATCTAGTTCTGAGTCGTCAGCTGCTAATGTTGGCGAGTAGCAGTTGATGATGCTGATAGTCTTCTGACGTGGAGGGCGTAGTCGTAGGATGCCTAGTCGAGGTGATAGGATCTCGTGCGAATCGACAAGATGGACGATAGATGGATGGACGACAAAGCCGACGCCTCCCACGTTTCGTGGTGAAAACTTTTCACCACGAATGATGAGGGTCCCATCACTCATCTGTCGCACGTCCTTCTTCCTGGACTTCGTTTCCTGCAGAGCGATGATGTGATACTTGATGTGCTCTGCAGCGTCGAGAAGAGCGTGGAGGTCGGCGTTTGTGGAGACTGTTCTGGCGTTGTAGGTGCAGAGCATGAGGCAGTCTCCATGGCGTGTCGTCCGGGCAGACGTGTCGTTTTTGTCCAATCCGAAAGGCGCCCTGAGTACCCTGATATCGTTCTTGCTACCATCCGGCGCCGTAGGCGGGATACGATGTGCAGGGTTTTTTTCTAATCTTCTAACTGGAGGAGTAATATGAATTTTCCCCTACAAAAGGTGGCTTACTAGGCCTACTCTTGATTTCCACGGGGCGATCGCTAACCCCGGGCTTGGAGCGGGGAGGGACCGCCTAGCGACCAGAAGAAGCCAGACGGCGGAGGATCTGGCGTGACCAGTTCTTAGCTAGGCATCCGGCCGAAACCGGAAACGTCGAACTCCTTCACAGCTTGGGAGGCCCTACCAAAGTATACAAGAAATATTCCCAGAATGGCGTATGTTTGACCATCCGGCCTAAATTACTTGACTGTTTCTTGTGATCAGTCCGGTTAAGCTACGTCTGTGGCCGCCACTAAAATTTGAACGGTCTAGAAAATGTGCTCCAAAAGACGAGAAACAATCTTGTTTCGCTTGAGTTTTTGCTGCGAAAACAAAAATTTACAGACTTTTGGGACATCCACATATCTATAAGAGTATTGGTCATCTTAGAAAGGTACTTTGTCTATAAATAACCAGACTGTTTCACCTACTACCGAAACGTACGTTTCTACGACACTTTTTGGGCAAAAGAAGTTCGTAAACAAGAAATTGTGCAGAAATCTTTTTTCAAAACATGTCCAGCGCTCTACCCTTTGCTTCTCCCCCTCACACAGTTCTAATGACCGATCGTTAAATGCTTTTGTCAGAGCAAGCTGTGTTCAAAATTTCCGTTTTTGCTTGCATAGCTGAAAATTATAGAGACTGGGATTTTGCGCCCAATACAACTCTCTCTTTCCACGATTAACATGTCTCCAGAATCTCATTGTCATTGCAGGCTTGATAGGTAAGCTGATTGTTCTTCTTTGGTTATCGTAAAATAAATCCATAGAAGTTATTGGAAGAAAACAGCTTGTTATACATACAGGGTGTCCCAAAAAATGTATCGAACGCTTGATCGTTAATATCTCTCTTCTCAAGAAGTCTTTTGCCTTGCTTCAGGTACCTTTTTATAGAGCTGAGCTGGCTTCAACTTAGATTTGCATCATAGAACGAATCACCCATATCTCTTCGTTACTGTAGGATTACGGTAGAAACTTCGAAGAGGGTTTTAAGCAATGAAAGGCCATATTTTGCCCCAGAAAGGAAATAGAAGAGCCTAAAAACTTTTACGCTAGGCTAATTAGAGTTGCTGATTATAACTGTGAAGTTCCCAATTTATTATGATGCTTCATTGAAGAGTTATGCCAGGTAAAAGGTAGCGGCCATTTTTTCAATGTTCCTAAAAAATGCGGTTACACCGTTTAGAAAGCTTCGTAATCTTGTGAATAGTTGAGTATTGAACTCAGCGTCCATAAAACCCTGATATACAAGTTTTCACATTTTTTTGAAAATTTTTGAAACGGCAGCTTTTTCCACATTTACACCGTATGTTTCAAGTTTCTACCGTAATCCTACAGTAATGAAGAAAGATGGGTGAGCCGTTCTATAATGCAAATCTAAGTTGAAGTCAGCTCCACAAAACAGTACGTGAAGCAAGGCAAAAGACTTCTTGAGAAGAGATATATTAATGATCAAACGTTCGATACATTTTTTGGGACACCCTGTATTATAAAGTTGTCAATCATGTGAATACGGCGTAAACCAAATACGTAATTATGAGAAGCGTTCTCATGCTGTATTCTTATTATATCCCTGGTATTCAGAAAATTTGAAAACAAGAAAGACCCTCCGTTCTACTGATAAGGACACAGACGCATTTTTTGGGTGTTTGTAAAAGAAATGGAAGAAGGCAAAACGAGAATTCAAGCCAAACTCATAAAGACTCCAATACGATAACAGTTTCAGGGCTTTCATCTCCCGCTTACAGTAATTCTATGAAAACAGATGCTGAAATATTTACTCTGTCACAAGAATAAACTAAATGGACGAATTCCTGTTGAAATTTAGATAACGCCAAAGCAGAACTAAAGAGCAAGAATTTGTAAAGCCCCGTACATCTTCTCATCAAGTCACTTAATGGTAATAGACTTGAGAAGCACCTAACTTAGTCACCCAACTTGGTCTGGTCCTTTGAAAAGAGTCATTTATTTGAAATTAGCCTGGATCGCTAATTCCAAATATGCTAATCCTAAAAAAGGTTTATGAGCTTGTAATTATGCGGTGACATCTTAGTGGATATGCTGAAACGGTCTAGGCGGGAATCTGCCCAAAAAGATGTTGGATGTTCAGGACATATCAAACCAGTTCTCTTAATGTTGGCAGGAAGCATAAGTGGCGGCGTTCACCCAAAATCCACGATACTTATAGGTCATTTATAAAATCATGGCGACGGCTTCGACTGCGGTCTTTGCGCCCACACGAGCACAAAACACTCATATAAAAAAAACATACCTCAATGCTCAGCTCAGTCACACTGTCCGACGTATCCGAGGCGCACAGCTTTTGCTTTGGCTCGTCGCTCTCGGTCATGCTTATGTCCGCGGAGCTCGGCAAGCTTTTCGGACTTGGATTCTTTTTGCACCTCAACTATAGTTTATAGATCCTTTCTTGCATCTCAGCTATAGTTTATCTTCTACTTTTCTCACTGTCATAAAAGATCATCTTTTGTAGCGTTTCTCGACTTTTGTCTACTATTTGCACTCAGGACTATCAAAATGGTCAGTTGACGTGGATGTTCTCAATCGAACTACGACGAAGTAGTTGTAGATGGTTGTTTTTGCAACTTGCGCTGCAAAACTGCTTTTTGTAAGTTTGTCTTTTTGAAACTGTCATGCTTTCGTGGTCCGACGCTTTCTTGCCGCTGTAATAGTTTCGCTGATGGCCTACCAAGCCTTCAGACTTGAAAGTGGCTGGAGAACGGTGCATAAGCATAGTCGTTTTGGCTAGAATGTTGTGTATGCTCTTTCTGCAGAGCAAAAACATGGCGGTTACGCTGTGCACTGCTCTTGCGTTTCCAGTTTTTTTCAGTGCTTAGCGAATTGGACTTCACGCATTCTGCATACTATGCATATTACTTGCAATGATGGCCGCGAATCGCGGTATCTAGCAAAACATCAGCTATTGGTCAGAAACGAGGGTTTTTATTCAGGCTATTGAGGTGCTAGTAGGCTGGATTGATAGATACTAATCTCTGGCTACATTTTTGCTAAAATGAGTTCAGATTGTGAATATGGCGCTACTAGCGAATTAGCTTCAACTCTAGTTTTCAATATGGTTATACTTAATCTGTATAGTTTGATATAGTTTCAAACTAGAGAAGAACATGTAAGTGAGCGTAAGAGTGAACTCTTCAAAGTATCATTATCACCTCGTTTTACATTTAAAACTTGCTTACAACTATTTTCTTCTTGTTACTTCAATAATGTAGCTGATAGTTCACTATTCGAGCCACCGATCCTTTGATACCACGGAATTGGCGGCTGGAAGGCGACCGCTTGCGCCCGTGACGCAGCCTACATCTCTTTCGCGAGCGTACTCTCTTATCATTTTCGAGCCTTGATCAGGCCTTAATACCCTGCTTTCCAGCCACCAATTCCATTAAATCAAGGGTACATCGTCGTTTGTATGCTTCTTACATCTACACTTGAGATGACTTCGCATCGATGAACTCCTTCACAGTATCGCAATGCAGATATCGTGTTCATATCAGTTTTAGTTAGTTTTTTTTGAATAAACGAGATGTCTGTGAATAAACATTGAACAGCCTATTACTAGAAGAAAGGAGAAGATCAACTATGGTTGAGACGCAAGAAAGAATCAATAAACTATAGTTGAGATGCAAAGGAATCCAAGTCCCAGGAGCTTGCCGCGCTCCGCGGACACAAGCATAACCGAGGGCGACGTGAGCCAAAGTAAATAGCTGTGCCCCTCGAATACGCCACATTGTCCAAATAAAATCATATGTAAGCAAAAAACCATTCAAGTAGGGATAAAAGCAAGAAAACGCGGTTGCCGGAAGCGCATGCGCGTCGCGCGCGGTCGCGGCATCGTCTCGTTTTTCCGATTGTCTTATGGATATACATTGTATGTGTAGGCTATAGAAGAACACCAACTGTGATGTTACTGTGTTCTAATATTGTCTCAAGAGGAGAAAACGGACCTGCAAGTTGCTGGATCCTTCGGCGCACCGCATCTTTTCCGGCGCTCCACACGCCCACTAATTGCCCGTCGAGTTCTGCATGGAAAGCAACTTTAAGACGCATACTGGTTATCTGGCTCTCTTCCATACGTCCAAGTTTCCTGCTTCATACGACGTGACTACAAAGCACTACTTCCAGGCTTACCAAACAGGGTTCCAAAAGCAATTTTGGGGCTTTCGGGAATTGTATCTCATATCCAAAAACGGGGCATAAAAAGGTTCGATAACATTGAAAACATGAGAGTCGCTGGGTGGACGCTGTCTTTAAGAGCAACTGCATAGTCATTTGAAGTTGATTGACATAAGCCGATAAATATGCAGATGCTGCACAGGAGGAACCGTTTATTTTCGGAATATTGCTTCGCGGCTCAAGACTATACTTCGACTCAGCATTTCATTCGAAATGTATGTGTCTTGCAAAAGGCCAGAGAGCAGATTACATTCCCTTGTTAGCAGTGAGAATGCTATTCAGCCACTGTTAGTCGAGAGGAGCAAGAGCTGGTTAAACCCTGTCCTATTCAAACGCTCACTCTGACATGAAGTAATAATATGAGTAATAATATGACGTTATATCAGGATACAAAAATGTGCGAAAGAAAGCAGAATCAATTATTGGTTATCTAAGCCTCGGACTACACGCTAACAGACTTGCTATTCAATGCAGGTTAGTTTTATATATTGAGTAGAAACCTAAGAGAAGCAGCTTTTGAGAAGGCTAATGCGGTGGGATATTTCTTTTGTACTTTTGTCAAAGAACCAATCGCGACACTTATTTTGTGACTATCTGGCATACCCGGCCTTACCACTGTCAAAATGTACGCATGCTACGTTGCAAACTTAGAGCTAGCTCACCTACTACAGCCTTGAGTCACCGCATCCTCTAAGAATGGGATCCTCCTAATGTTTACGCGAAGGTGTTGGGTAGCAGATGATAAGAATTTATCTCATTGCGAAGTGACAAAAATGGATAGTTTATTAGAGGACCCAGGGAATTGCTCTAAAAGTAGTCCAAGACCACCGCTGGGCTCGAAAACATATGTGTGCAAAGTTTGTCACCTATCAGTTCGCGCGTTTCTATGATGAAAGAACATCAACGAAAACACAGAGTTTCAAGTTTTGTTTACATATACATACCAGTGCGTCACCTCTGCTTCGCAGAAGTTCGCGCTAGTCTCCTTGCCTATACCATCCTCACGCTCGCATAACGATGGCTTTGAAACTCACCGCGCAAGCTAACCACCACCACGAAATGATTACAAACAACTGCCCATTCCAAAAGCTTTTACAATGAGATTAACATTGGAAGCAAAAAAAAATTTCTGAAAAAGAACAAAAGCCATTTGAAACTATTTCCTAAATTTATGATGGCTTGTTAGTTAGCATATACACAGTGTGAGCTACATCCTTGAGCAAGAATCTAACCTATTAGGCAAAACCTTGACAGATCGACGATTGACGCAATCATTTTTCTTTATTTTTTTTCGTATCATAGCTTGCTGATATACTGTACAAACAACCCACAGCTTTGCAAAAGTTTGATTACCGACCCAGTATTGCAGGATAAAAGCCGGAGACCCATTTGACGTGCAATTTTTTAGGATCTTTTTGTCGGATCAATCCGCCCTTGTGCATAGCGAACTCTGCTGAGAGCATACTTTGTGAAAAAATCGACGCACGACTTTAACTCGCTCCATGAATGAATGACAGACAGAAATTCATACACACAAACGTAAATAACCCTTAGCAAGTTATCATAAGTTATGATAGGTAAAGATTGGAGTTCCTGATGCAATCGAAATAGATGCGGGGCCGGCAGTTTTTTCAGACTGTTTTGGGGCCCTGCGGGGGACGCGCAGGAGGATAAAAGCACAAGAGAGCCACCAGAATTATAAGCACGAGCTTTGTGAAGATTGCGAAGATTCAAAGAACATGTACAAAAAGTTTATAAGAATCCGGACTATATTGAATTGTTAATTAGAAAATCGTATTTTGCACGGCTAAAATGACATTCATTACTATAGCTCTAAAAAACATCACACAAGTTTTATATATGAACGAGTTTTAGTGGAGAGTAACTAGCCTAATGGAAGTCCCAACACAAGTAAGAAGTTCCTGTACCTTTGGTTTGGCTTCTATGCTGTCTAAACAACTTTCTTCAATTGTCAAGTATTCACAGCTCACCTACAAATTGCTATTATAGCCAAAGCCAGAGAAGACGCATAAATGTAGCACTTGCACTGCTGACTAGAGGACCGCTGATTGTCGTCGATGAGCCTACGAAAGAAGTGGACCCAAATGTAAGTAACTCGATTTGTTCTTCACTATTTGTGTGAAAGCGAATTAGTGAACTCAGTTGGGCAAAACCAAAAGCTTACTTTGGAGATTCTTTGATTGCATGAGCTTGTCTGCCTCTCTTGCTCCGAAAATGCCGCTTATAGTGCGCAAAATTTATGATATCATTTTCCTTGAAACTGACAAGTGTTTAGAGTTGTGGATCAGAGTAGGATCGAGTCGCAAAGCAGCATCAGTTCATAACTGCATGCGGTATGCATTTTTCATTATTGAGGTACATCGATGGATAGCAGTACCCGAGAGTAGACTTGGAGTTCGAAGTTGTAGCAAATTTCAGGCACTATAGGCGCTGCTTTGGACGGTGATTGCTTAACAGCGCCTCAGAATGGCACCACCGCGCACTTTACAGGAGCCTCTAAATTGAGCTTCACTTGTGCATCATCTCTAAATCCTGTCATTTGTTTCTCACGCGCAAAAGAGAACAAGATTGCGCGCCTAGATTTCGTTGGCTCCTGACAGATGCAAGTAACATGTCACTGCTCTTTTGCGTTCGAAAGTGCAAGCATTCATGACGCCACTGAATCGAGGATCGGGCCTTTTTACACTTCTGGCTATTTTCTCACTCCACAAGCAGTATTTTGCACTCGCAGTTGGGCTATAGTTTGCATGAGCCCTCTTCGGTGATGCATTGGATGCTCACAGATCTGCCTAGACACTGCCATCAATGAAAAGCGCGTTTTCAACATTTTTGCGCTGCACAAGCTACATAAATGGGGACAGCGGCACGAATAAGACCAGGCACATCTGATATTTGAATGGAAGTTCTACTGGGACAATAGTGCATGGCAGCGGCGTACCGAGGGGGGGGGGACGGAAGGGGCGCGCCCCTATTATGCACGAACAATACTGACTCCCAATATGTACATCATTCCGCACTGCAAAACGAGGAGAGCGTATCATTGCAAGCAGTTTTGTGAACAAGCTGAATCTTTTATCATTGTTCTGTAGAACACCAGCTCTTCAACCGTCGGCAGCTTGTATGATTTTTTACAAGTTCAGTCAAGCCTAAAACTTGCGCAATTTGCGAATACTGAGAATGAGATGTATTCTGATAGCAAAGCATTCAATTCGCTCTTGACCTGAGCAGTCATTTCCATCTCATATCAGGTCTCGTCCTCACCGCCTCGTCACGTCGACGTAAAGTAGGCGAAAATTTCAACCCACATCGAGGCCCTTAACAATCTTTTCACAGAAGAATCCATAGTAGGGAGGCTAATATGAACTAAACGAAGCCTAAATAGTAGTTTTTGAGGTCTTGAAAACCTCTCTAAACAAAATAAAGGAGTAGGGGTGCTTTGGCAACCTTGCGGCAATAGCTGCCGGCATCCCCTCAAAATTTGTGGGGGTGACAGCTGCCGGAAAGTATTTGAGCACAAGAAACAGGTGCTCTCTTGCGAAAGCAGCATGCAAATTCACCCGAGGGCGATGCAAGTGTTTCGCGGCGTTCTACCTGGGTCAATCTGCAGGCTACGACGGATTTGCAATACTCCGGTGTGACAACTTGTCGGCATCTATGATAGCACTAAATAGGGAAGATTACTAGGGACCCTCCGTCGGAAAACTACGCTTTTTGCAATGAAGACAGCTCGATTCTCTTCATATTCACAAACACTTGGAAAACAAGTTTCAAAATTTCAAACAAATTTCTTGCGATCTTTTCCTGCCGTTTCCATAGCTCAGTGCTTCGTAGAGCACTTTCTCACAAAAAATGGTGCCACAGATATTTGGCTTCAACTTATTATTTTACGGCATTAATGAAGCACCGTGTTCTCTAACAAACAGGGCGCGATGAGTTTACTTGCAGGCACGGCGTGATATTTGGAAACTTATGCTATCGACTCAATTGACCAATCGAGCAATGCTATTTGCTTCATCATCCATGGAAGAATGCGAAGCGCTTGGAACAAGATACGGTGTTTTATACGAAGGACGCTTTGTGTCGACTGGTTCGATTGATGCTTTGAGGGAATAGTAAGTAAAGGGGGAGCCTGTATTTCCTAATTGATATACACTTTCCAGTCACGCAAAATTGTGTGTGCTACAAGTTGATCTGACCAAAGATGCTCAAAAACAAAAGGTTTTGAAGTTTGCAAATATTGTATGCATTCAATTTTTTTCTTTAGGTACTTGACACTGTCCAGATAACTTTTATGAATGCCATTCCTATACCAACACCAGATGATTCCTTAAAGATGAGGTGGCATGTAAGTATGTATAGTTCATTCTTAAAATCGTGACGACGGGTTGACTGCGGTCTTTCCGCACACAGAAGGGCAAAGCATCCATATAAACAGGCAACACCTCAGGGCTGATCTCAGTCACTTTTAGTGCCTGAGTACTATCATATGTTTAAAAAAACTGAGTAGAGATAGAATCCAAGAATTGGAAGTGCGTGCGTGTTGCGCGCGGTCGCCATCGTCACGATTTTTCGAATGCCCTATACATTATAGTAGCTGAAGGTGGCAGTAAATTATTGCAGGTCCACATTAGTGAAGGAGAGACGCTATCTACTCTATTTCGTAAAGCACAGGAATTAGCAGTTAGCCCAATAAGACATGTACACTTTACACACGCTTCATTTGAAGATGCACTTGTATCATTTGGCGGTAAATTCACCAAGCTGCAAAGGAAAGCGTCAAAACGTGAATTAGTGAATCAGCTGTTGACTGTAGTCCAATGATTAGATATTGTCAGTGTTAATGTCTTTAATTTCTTGCGAAAACGAGAGAAATATATATCGACTGACAGTTTAGAATATAAACTGTTTTTTTGGTTTGTCCCGTTCATAATCTTAGAGTAGATCCTCAAAATCATATGCTACACAGATATTGTACAGATTGCTACACACGATTGGCTACAGTATCAAAGGCAGTGGTTTGGCAGAACTGAACATCGCGAAAATTTGATATGGCAGATTGTTTACTCCAAATATGCACAGAGCAAGCCTAGGTGCATGCACACATGCATCAAACGAGCTCGCGATTTCCCTTTGACCTTCGGAGGCGGCATGCCGCAAAGCTATAACCATAAGGTCCTGCAACGACTCTCCGTCTCCAGTGGCGGAAACTGCTCCACTTGTTCAAATTCAAAAAGAAGGTCTCTGAGATATGCTTTTCGCCATTTTTTCGCTCTCTACAATGGCTTTCGCAATAAGCCCGTCGGATTACCACAGGTAAGCAAAAGATTGAGTCTAGGATGTGCCGAGCTACTGGGTTATTACAGTCACACTTATCACTGCTTTATCTATGCTCCAAAAACCTACAAATATCCATTATCCCAGTCGCGCATGCAACTGATAAAGCACACTTATAAGTCCGTACTCAAGCGGTTTCGCACACAAATCTGAACAACGTCTTATGCCTTACAACTCAGCATACATTGTATCTGCCACGCGATCAACAGCAAAACCCAAACGTGGCAATCATTCTAAGGTTCTCTTGTAAGCAACTTCATCAAAAAAAAAACACGTTCGTTCGCACATACGCATGGATGTTACACTATCGTGTGCACAGCCACGATCTTGCTCAAGGCGTCACTTTCAAAAACCAAGGTTTTTACACTAAATAGTAAACACCTTACGACGCAAACATAACACAGATATGACACAAAATTTGTTATAAAAGAGAAACAAAGGACAACGGCTAGTAGGAGCATAGTGCAGACTACGGAAAAGTTATGTGCATGGCTAAGGGTGAGGTCAGGCGCGTCCGACTTGGGGGTCGTAGTGGGGGTAATATTGAGGGAGGGGGGTCGTAATTAAGAATCGAATCCGTTTAGTTGGGGAGATACTACTACTAAGACGGAGAAGAAAAGCGCTAGTTCAGTGGATACCGCGGCCTCACCTTGAACTTTAATTTTCTGGAAATTTTTTAAAGTCTCTTTGTGATTGACACGAACAGAAAGCAAACGCATGAAACGCATCCGTATTAAATGACCTCCGCAGGTTTTCCTGACAGTACCTTGCAGCACCTCGCCCACAATCCTTCTAGCGGCGCTTCGAAGAAGTGAGACAGATTTCTTTAACATTCGAATTTGTGCTGCTGTACCTCAAGGTCCTTAGACATATGACATATCAATCACAAAAGGTTTCCAAGCTTTCTAACGGTTTCTTGAATGTACAAGATTACGAAAGATGCATTCTATTCGAAAAAGTGCGATATTGGGCACAAGTCTTCAGGCTAAAAATCATGGTCTGGTCCACAATTTCTGGCAAATAAGAAAAGACGAGATTAATTGCATATGTATGAATAGAACGTAAGAAGCTCTATCAGAAAAGAATTGTAAAGGTGAGCTCATTTGATTACCTCGATGAGAGATCAAATGATATGTCTCCTAATATCCAATGTGATATAGTCATTTTCAATACATATTGGTCATTTCTACCGTATGCCTTCCAGCCTCAACATGACCTGGATTGGTGCGGTGCCGCCTCGTTTCGGGCCTCCACCACGTAGCGGACGCTCGTTTGGCGTGACGGGCGAGAAAAGCAACGTGGCGCAACCCGAAGCGATCGGCGCCTCACCAATCCACGCCATGTTGAGGCTGGAAGGCACGGTAGAAAAGACTAAAAGGCATTGGAAACAACTGTATCTTTTGCTTCAAAATGTTAGGACCACCAGCCTATCGTGAATTTGGTGACATTTTCCTCAGACATCGCTGCGCAGATATCGTTGGCATCTTCACTTGTTCTAATGCTGAGGTGAGTGAAGATTTGATTTTAAGCGCTCACACAAATAACGCCATATGACAGTGTTTATTTATAGACCGCAATCAGAATTTTCTTATGTGCAAGCCGTTCTGATCTTCCATTGAGTTGAAACTACAGTCCATGCCTTCAGCACTGCGTAAAGACCCTTGTCAAAATGTTATTGAGGACTGATGGAAATTTCTTCGAATATTTTGGCTAGTTCATATCGAGAACTTTGTCGTACGGTTGCTCTACATCGATATGAGATATAACACTTGGAAGGAGGAACCAATCATACGAAGAAACTTGGGGTCTGATACAGCAGTGCTGGGCATGTTTGTGATAAAAATGAATTGTCAGAATGACGGCGGAGTCGTCGATAAACCCCGAACTCACGAACAGTGGTTCAGCAGTGGTGGTGATTTTCGTGGTACTAGGATTCTACTCATTTCTTCTAAGGACTTGTGTAGCACTGTCGTAAGATCCTAGCACAACTTTACAATGTTTTCTATTGAGTTTGTGAAAAGATAAACGACTTTGAATATGAGCGCTGTCCCGTAGGTGATGCCAACGAAATTATTCGGAATATGAAAATCCAGCCTAGATGGCAAGGCGCTGTCATCCATCATGCGAGACTAAGCACTGGGGGTAGTCGAGCATGGGTAACGAGAACACAGATTTCTAAAGCGCCGTGATTCAAGACGTCCTCACCTGCCCTCCTTTCCCCGGATACATTACGTGCATAGAGCCTAAACTGTAGCTATATAGATAAACACATTTTTCAAGGTAAAGTTTCGAAGCTTGTTATAGTTTGTTACTCACACTTTTTTGAATCCAATAACAGTTCACAGTACGCACTGACAAAAATTTGAAATCTCAAGATGCCCTTAGCATACGTGTTAGAGGAGGAATAAAAGCACTATTACAGTCTGCTTAATCTCAACAAGGCCAAAATTGGCGTGGAAGAAGCTCACTTCGCTAAGTTGCGCCACGCCTTTGGCCTGTTCTCGTCTTCATCCTCCTCTCTCTCCGACAGCGCGCTATGTAGCGCAAACCATCGCCAGAGTGCCGAAGTTATGCCAGCGCTACGCCAGCATTTCGATCGATACACGTGTATTTCGTTGGAGCGGGGCTAGCTCAGCAGGTAGATGTCCCCAACGAAATACACGTGTATCGATCGAAATGCTGGCGTAGCGCTGGCATAACTTCGGCACTCTGGCGGGAGCCATAGCGTTGCGAGGACGCAAAATTGAGCCAACGGTTCGGCCTGATCCCGATTGGGACACACTGTGTATTTTACATGTGAAAAACTCAATTAGATCATAGAAATCACATAAAAGTACCATTAATTATTTGAGCCTTTGCAAAAACGATGCTTGTAGTACCTCCAGTATAGCTAGAATGGTAAAGAAACAGTAGCATACCGGCGTTCTGTGGCTATAGTGCAGCTGGGAAGACGTTGAGCTAAAAGGATGAACATCACAGGTCTGATTCTCCTATCTGCCGGTGATAAATTGCGTCACGTTAATCACAGATGAGGTCGGTTTCTCTAAGCAATGTTATAAGAAGACTCGAATTGAGGCAGATTATGCGTTGACTATGCGTGTATCCTGAAAGCTGAAAAGTAAAGGCAACAACTCGGTGCTTCCTAATTTAGATGCAAGGATAGATTTTTCTCTAAATTCTAATTTTTTCTTGTATGTAAAACTGTGTGTGTTTGTGTACGTGCCAGATATTATTCCATGTATATCACAAACACAAAGTGTGGATTTTTTGTCATTTATCTTTACATATACTTGGAATCTGAGACCGATTTTTGAGTGATATTCAGACACCAGCATGATCATTCATGGTGTGATCTACAGTCGAGTAGATTTCGTGCTTAATATAGTGTCCCTGCAGACGCGACAACGCTGGGGCGTCAATAAATGCCATGCGAGTTCTCGAGCTAGTGTTTTCCAGTGTTTTCTTCGCTTATTTCATGCTTTCTAGTTGATTCCTTGCTGATAAAGAGGAAAAGGGTAAGCTAAAGAGTAGTTTCTGTTTTCTGAGAAGTTCTATCATCGCATATTCAGAAATATCCATGTGGAAGCATTTCGCGTCAGCTTCTTATCTATTTTTTTGTCATTTCCTTTTCTTCTGTCACTTCTTCTTTCAAACCTCCTCCTTCTTGTGAGGCGTTTCTTTGCACGCTAGTTGGCTTGTCTTGCAGCAACTTCGGCTTTCATCCATAAGAAATAGCATTTTAATCAAGTACTTCATGTGATAAAGAGTGTAAGTCAATCGTAAAAACCCACTAGCGTTCAAAGAAGTACCTCACAAGAAGAAAGAGACATGAAGTGACAAAAAAATAGACAAGAAGCTGACGCGAACTGCTTCCGCGTGGATCTCTGTGAATATGCGATGATAAAACTTTTTAAAACTTCTCAGAAAACAGAAACTGCTCTCTAACTTACCCTTTTCTTCCTTATCAGCAACGATTCACCTAAAAAGCATAGAATAAGCAAAGAAAACACTGGAAAACACTAGCTCGGGAACTCGTCAGGCAATTATTGACGCTCCAGAGTTGTCGCGTCTGCAGGGACACTATATTAAGCAGGAAATCTACTCGACTGTACCTTCGAAACCTAAAATTATCAAACTTTTTGGAAGTCGAAAGTTATAGGCAGAGTCGAGCAAGACGTGTGACACAAACCACCGGATATAATTCCCCCCCCCCCCTCCCTCCCTTCCCCTCTGAGTGTCTCATTGGAGCCTCCACCTCCCAGCATTATCGTCTAACTATCTGAGAAGAGAAGGAAGGTTACTCGAAGTGGGCTTTTAAGCTGAGATGTGCGTTGTCTCGAAAGCTTGGAACGTTGATTCCAAATCTACCTTTGCTATCTGCTGCGAGCTTTTGGGCAAAGGGTTGGAAGGCTTTTGTGAGAAAAGTTCAATGCGAGGTTAGTGAAAAAATCATTCGTAACCCTTTCGTGACGTTCAAATGAGGCAGCAGCGAGTTGGTATATACTAAAGGAACCACAATCAGCCATTCTTGATCGGGCCTTATGACTTGCCCCCACTAATTACTAGCCTCAGCTGCAGCACAGAACAATCAACAAGATATACATTTATGGGCAAGCATGGAACGACAATACATCAACATCAACCAGAACACAATCGAGATCAACTAGAAGTAAGGATCCTAAATGAAGCACGAGAGACGGGTCTGGCGATCCAAAGACGACACGTCGCCAGACGTCCATTCACCATACTGCCGTACCGTTCCGCCTTTGGTCTTTATGCCCTGCTCGTCGAGTTATCGCACCACCGATCTGTAAGCAAAGGGCGAGAAGAGAGCCTGGGAGAATAAACACAAAGCCTACGTAATAGCTAGAAATTTGAAAAGATCTAAAAGATCTCATTACTCACCCTGCGCTCCCTTACAATATTTGCATTAAGAATATTTGTTGGAGTGGCCCGACTACAGTTAAGGTCTAGAAAAAATACTACTGATTTTACACTAGTATTGCATTTAACTTCTCACTTACAAAAACCTCATAACTCCTCACCCAATAGCCCGCAGCAGATAGTGAAGGCAGATTTGGAGTCAGCGTTCCGATCTCTACAAAACATTGTACATCTCATTTCAAAAGGCCGTTTCGACCCCTTCCTTTCCTTGTGGGTATTTTGCAGTCACTCCCAAGTTTTGCTATATCTTAATCTTTTCGCATAAAACGAATCCAAATCCTGCTATTACATGCAAATCACACTGCTTGACACTGTGTCAAAACATTTTGCAGTTTCATGCACACAGAAAAGGGGCTCTGAGGTCAATGGCGAAAACGGCGTTGGTCAAAACTTGAAGCTATTTTCTGCTCAATGTCTTTGGAGAACTTGTCACCTTGCACCATCTGAGCTACATATGCACCACTAAGCCTTGAGATATGCAGTGCAACCAGCATTCGTCGAACTCCCAAAAAGGAGAGTTTACGGAGCAAATCTTCTTGAACGCCAAATGACCACAAATTGGATAAATCGTAAGGTTGTCGAGAGATAATCGGCTAATCCGTGCTTTCATGTAAAGGCTCATCATTTGGACGATTAGTGGCGGTTTTCGAGTGTGAAACAAAAAGAACTGCTTGACATGCCTCAAAATCTACCATCCCCTTAACTCAGATTCGGCGCACTTTTCAGCTCAAAAACTGAGTTAACGCTCTAGAGAGTTCTACTTTCAAGAAAGCACTGCTTCTACAAAGAAGGGCTGGTCCGAAGCTGGCAGAACTCCACTGGAAACATGATGGCGCTACAGCTACGGAAAAGTTTGCGCATTCTTTACAATTGATAATTTCCTTAGGCAAGTCAAAGATTTGATAGGCGTGATAAACGCAAAACTTTTCTCTGGTATTAGCGCGTCTATGTTTCCAGTAAAGCTCTGTGAGCTCTGGACCAGTGCTCGTCTTTGTAAGAGCAGTGTTTTCATGAAGTTGGAGAACTCTCTGGACCTCTGAACCTCTCCTTTTTGGAAATTTGATGAATGCTTTTGCACTGCATATCTTAAGGCTTAGGGTTTAGGGGTTCATCTATAGCCCAAATGCTAGAAGGTGATAAGTTCTCCAAAGACGTTTAGCAGAAAGTAACTGCAGCTTTGATCAACCTCGATCTCGCCGTACCTGCCATTTTTCTCAGAGCTCCCTTTTGTGTGCACGAAAATGCAAAACTTCTCGATTAAGCAGAGTGATTTGCATATAATATAATGTGAGTTCGTAATGTGCGAAACAGAGTAAGACATAGCGAAATGTCAGAGTGGAACTTTTGGCCAGCAACTTTTGGCTAGCACTGTATTCGTGCATGTCAGGCAACCCTTGCCGACCAAGTTTCAGCGAATTCTGATATTTTCTAAGTCGTTTTCAGAGATGATCAACTTTGTTTTGAAAATGTTAGCTAAATTTTTTTGCACTAAGTACAGAGCCCTACTTCTTCTTTGCTCACATGAGAAGTCAAACATCAAGTAACTGCCAAACTACAGAATTGGGAGTTAGCCAAAATTTCGTTTGTCCCAAATTTCAGATATAGTCGTCTTCCAAATCTTATATTCAGAGCAAAATGTTACGGTAAGTGTCTGTGTGTGTGAATCTGCGCTACTACGTATATTGCGATGAGAAAAATATACATGTAGCTTTGATAGCTTACATATCTTATATTCTACATCAGGGCTCGGCACGAGCTGGCACCGGGGAAATTTCAAAACGAAGTCCCGTTTGATAATGAAAATTTCGTACGAAGTCCCTTTTGACCTGTTTTGAAAACCCGTCATCATTTTTATACTATGTAAAAAAATGTAGTAGTGTTTTCATGCATTTCTGATTTCTGAAAGAACTTCTCATTTCTGCATTTTTCTGCAACATTTCTGAAAGAACTTCTCATAGCTTTCTGAGCTTTTTAAGTGGTCGAATCACATCTTGAGAAGCAGAAAAAGCCGATTTTTCGACGGCGGAGCGGAGCGGTTTTCAAATTGCTATAAAACGCTGAAAAGAGAACATTATGAAACTGTTTCTTCTCCGTATGTAATCTTTTACAGTGTGGATACATTTTATGTAAAAAAGTATGAAAACTTATGTGAGCAAAGTGTCGGTGCCAGCTCAGCTGGCACCCAGGCACGGTGCCAGCTAATTCAGAAAAAAGTTGGGCACAGCTTTCATTCACATAAGTTTTCATAAAATTTGCCCGTAGTTCCGGTCCACAACGCGCATACACACACCAAATTTGGTGTCATACTATTGCGGGCTGAAAACAACGCCTTTGTTTGTTGATGGACAGCTTGCCAATGGCATGCCGGTGGCATGCCGGCGGCATTTTTTCGGCAGTTCTCCGCCTCGGCCCTTGTAGAAACGATATCCCCTTTGCTTTCCGCGCTAAAAACGATATCCAGCTTGACCCGGTGCCAGCTGTGCTGAGCCCTGTTCTACATGAGTGATTGGAGCACAATTTCTCTTCTCTAATGTGACAATCAGTCAATTTTGGCTGGCTCTTAATACCATATTTGGCGGTTATTTGAGGTGGGATTTCCCATGTGGGCGAAGGAGTCATGCTTTTTACTGATAAGGCTCCCGCCAGAGTGCCGAAGCCATGCCAGCGCTACGCCAGCGCCGAGCCAGCGTTTCGATCGATACACGTGTATTTCGTTCGGGACATCTACCTGCTGAGAACTAGGTCAGCTAGCCCCGCGCCAACGAAATACACGTGTATCGATCGAAGCGCTGGCTCGGCGCTGGCTAGCGCTGGCATGGCTTCGGCACTCTGGCGGGAGCCTAAGGGAATGGTCAGAAATCGAAGTGGCCAATCCAAACATGCTGCGTACCCTTAGTTGATGAAATGCTGACTTCGGATTTGTATTTCATATCTGCTTAGATATGGAATACAAATCTGCATCTCTGCCTATGTGGGCGAATTGAGCCGTTAAAGGTCGTTATTTGCTAAAAATTGTGCATGCAAGGCGCAAATTTGGCTACAAGCCATGTTTGGCTTGACGCTGGGCCAAAACATGCAGCCGGATTAGTTTACTTCTCAAAGCTCAAAGGTGAGCTGAAAGTGCAACAATGTGCTCAATTTCGCAATTTTTATGCACGATTTTTTCGGAAGAAAACTGCTCAGAACGGGGTGCGGGAACTTATCCACCCAAAGCACTTGCCGCAGCGTAGTTACAGAGGTCATGAGTTGTCAGCAACGCTAATTGGCACCTAATCAGCACCGTATGCAGAGCCAATATGTGCACGCAGCACCCTCTTTCTCATCCGGGAACACAGTAAACCGAATTTCGATGAAATTTCGAATTTAAAGTTCAGTAGCAATATGTGTCCGATTGGAACGCTGCTTCCGAATATGTTTGCTCAATGCTTCCAAATTCAATTTTTTTAGAATATAAAGTTTTTTCTACAACTTCACTGTAAATTAAAAAACCGGCATGATGAAAACCTTTGAACATTAGTTTTTCGGATTAAGTGAAGTCGTAAAAAACTTTGTTTTTCAAAAAAAAAGAGTAAATTTGGAGGAATAGAGGAAAATCACTAGCATATTTGGGAACAGTGTGCTTGAGAATACCTAAATTCAAGTTTTTACTTCAGTCGGACTTCTATCGCTACTGAACTTTGAATTCGAAATTTTAGTGAGTTTCATTTTCATGTGTTCCAGGATAAGGACGGGCTGCTGTGTGCACAGACTGGATCTCATACGTCGATGATTAAGTGCTAATTAGCGTTGCTGACAACTCATGACCTCTATATCTACGATGCGGCATGTGCTTTGGGTAGATAAGTTCCGTTCCCCCTCAGAACGTCGTCCACAAAGCGCTAAGTCTAGATTGGAATACAGATGCAAAATCAGTGTTCAAATGTTGCATCGAATGGTAGTCAGCTTGCTAGGATTGGCCACTTTGACTTCTGATTATTGTGAGTGTAAAAAGAGAATGTTAACTCACCTCAAAACAAAGTGAATCGTGTCCGAAAAGGAAAATTTTACCTTTGTGGCCCAATATTAGGAACCTCAGAATTTGCTAATACTTGACCCAGAAGGGTTGTCTGACATGCTAATTACGAAAACGTTACTCTTTGTACCCATTCCTTTCTTGATGCTCATTCATATGTAATGATTAGAGAGCACGCGCGCGAGAGAGACGCAGAGTGCGTCGCGGGCGCAAGCGGCCTTATATAGGTCACAATATCCCACCTCCAGCCGCCAAGCCACTTAAATCAAAGCTTATAAGACTGTTCGAAAAGACGATGGTGTATCGAAATGCTCAAGAAAGGGTAGCGGACGAACAGACTCCACCTTTTGCGGACAGCCGTCACGAGCTGCAGGTACGTGCTATGTGCAGAGATGCAGAGCTGTTGCACATGTCTAGCTCAGAGACACATCAGCAGAAATCGGGACCAGTATTAGATGGTTGTTCATCGGTAACTGTATCTTTCGACATTAACTATACGTTACTGTATAAATACAACCATCAGCCTTCTAGTAAGTCTGTTTCATGACTTGTATCATTTTGAGCAACCAAGTGAAGCGGAATAAATTTTTATTACAACGACTGGTGAAGCCAATAACATGCGCACAGATATAGAAACACAAGCACAGATAGCTTACAAATATATATACAAAAAGAGTGGCAATTCTTCAAATCCACAATATTTGAACTGGTTACAGGCATCTCCATGAGGGTACTCCTGGACAGAGTGAAGCATTTCGATCAAGTTCGTTCAGAGATTCTAGTTCTTCGTCAGACATCTTGATTGTTGGCACCTCAAAGTTCTAATCTAAGAAAAGACGAGAAATAACGGCACTTTTGCACCACTATGGCACAGCGACACATGAGAGTGTAGGAAGGGACCGGGCTCGTCTCGTTTATGCAAACTGCGCCAAAAGGTGTTTTGTACTATGATAGCAAAAACACGTCCAGGAATAAGAACTCCCTTACAGCAAAAAGATACAGTGATACCGTACCTGGCGAATATTATCCTCAATATGCTTTGGATTACCCGATCTGGGGACGATTCCACATCCAGAGTTCACACCAAAGGCATAAAGAAGAACCTGAAAAACAAAAAATTCATCATTTTCATCAAGTTTTACCTCATTTTAAGCTAGTCGATTTCCAAAAAAAGGCCCTAAACTAGAGTTGGGGTAGATCCAACCTGTGGAGTGACATTGAATTTCTCTGCAAGTTTCTGGACAGCATCCTCTACCAACACCTCTTTATTTCCCCACAATTGAGAAGAGAACGCCTGAAACACATTTTTTTCTGACTGGCGACAAAAAAGTCCAAACACAACAGACCTGCATAAAAATATTATTCATTTCGCAGAAATGCTTCAGCGTCGGTCTTGTAAAGTACGGTGTAAATTCGAGCTGATTCATGACGGGACGATGCTAAAAAATTGTATATTTGCCATTACTGACCGTTAAAGGGAGTGTCCCGGCAGATTTTGCACATCCAACTTTCTGCATGTTTTAGGCCTTTTCGCCACGTAGAACCCGAATTTATGGGACGTTTACCCAATTCCAAAAAAGCAGCTCGGACGAGATTCTTAACACGTTTCGGACCGCGAAGTTACGCGCGGCGAAAAAGAGGGTACCTTCAGCCGTTAGCCAACAAAGGGACCTTAATTCGTATGCTGTGCACTACATCTGTAATCAGCATGTCAGACAAGATTCATACCCAAAGTTCTGAGTGAATTCGAAGTGTTTGAATTTCCGTGCTTTCCTGAAAGATAGGAACAAGAACTCAGTTTCTAATTGTATCCAAAAGTATCTATGTTGTACACGATACACATAATTATTGGAACTATGGTTTTTCTCCCTGAATTCGAAGCAAAGTAAAGTTGCGACGTCGCATGCGTCGTTCGCGTTGCCGCACTTCGTTGCAACTGTCGTTCGATTTGCGCTTATATCTCCCAAACAAATATAGGCGGCACAATTCTACAAAGTCATTTGAGAAGTATAAGCTTAGGACTTTGACTCGATAACCTTGGACAGAAAGAAAACCTCCTGCAAACAATAAAAAGATCATTGAAAGGCGCGTGCTGCACCATGCGCAGCACCGGTCCGAAACGTGTTAATGGAAAGCTGGGAAGTCTTGCACGAAGACCCTGCAATCTGTAATTTTTGCTTTGGACAGCATGCGCAACGAGGGAGAGCGGTCGTGGGGTCCCGCGCCGAACAGACAAGAGAGGCCGTCCAAGCGCGCGCCGATGGGGTTGCGCGCGCCGGTTCTAGGGCCATTTTCTCGGCCCAGGGGGAACAGCAACCAGCTGGACTGCGCCTGGAGGTCAGTGGGGTGACCAGGAACCCCACTACATCTATAACTCCCAGGGCGCGAATCTGCCGGGACACTGCCTTCAAGGTTACGAAAAGCGAAAAAGTGAAAAGTACGACTTACTTTTGCGTATTCGAAAAGCTCTATCAGATGATAGACTTCATAATTTGACACTCCAATAGATTTTACGATTCCACGCTCTGCAGACGAAAAAGATTTCGAACAATTTTTTTCTCAATAATGAAGAAAGTACCTTTGAATTCTTCCATTTTCTGCCAAAGTTCTTTTCTGCCTTTCTTGTTGAGTTCATATTCATCATTTTTACCAGTGTCTCTATCCCTTGGAAAATGTACCAAGAGCATGTCTAGGTAGCTGAAAAAATTCTACTAAATATTCCCGCATAGAACGAACTTAGGACAGCCCGCGGAACCTACGTACTCAGTTCTGAGTTTATCCAACGATTGTCTTACGCTGAATTCTGCCCAATCGGAAACTTTCCCATTCTTGATCTGAACCTTTGATGTGATGAAGATATCCTCTCGTTTAAGTCCAAGTCTTGGGAGATTTTCCTAAATATGGCAATCATGCAGTATTTAACCGAGGTAGAGAACTCACCGCTATGGCGATCCCAAGCTCCTCCTCGTTTTGGTAATATTCGGCTGTATCAATCATACGATATCCAGCTTTTAGAGCTGCTTCAATTGCGGTGCTTATACCTTCCTACAAAATCAAATGTAACCCATCTATTATAGTCAAATTCGCTGCAGGAAAAATTACAGTGATGAAAAAATTGGTTTGAAGATAGTTCTAACAATATCAATATCAAGCCTGCAACTTTGACGCCCATGCAGAATTTCATTTGAAAAAATAAAGACTGTGAAGTACATATTTTACTTTCTCAGATTTAACTGTTTGAAAAACTAATCGTTATAAACACCAATTTGTCTTCAAAAAGTGTTGATTTTTTCTTGACGTTCATTTTTTATTCTTACTCGATTTTGTTTCTCCTGCGTAAGAACTATACAAACAGACTTTTATCCAATATTTCTATAAACCGTAAATTGGAATCTATTTTTAGCATTTATCCTATCGATTGTGTTGTGCAAATTTTAAAACTTATTTTCCGCCTCAATTTTACTGATAATAAAGTCTAAAGACATCAGAATAATCATCTTCCATGTTCTTTCAAATCCAACCGTTCATAACAAAATTCTTCGTCATTTTATTCATAGTAGAAGCATTTCGGAACTCAAAAACATGTTTTGGAATCACGCGAAAACTCAGCGACTACTACTGGGAAAATTAATGGCAAAAATCTATCAGACTAAGGAAATTGAGGGAAATTCTGTTTTGACTTCTTTGATTAAAGGTTGCGACGTCCTGACAAGAAATGAGATAATTTCCTTCCCCCATTTTGGCGCCGATTCAAATCTTGATAGGAGTTTTCGTAGTACCAAGGATCTGTCGTTCTTTAGTGAATTGTTTCTACTAGTATTTCAGGCTGGGTAGGTCCCAGATTTGAAACTAAACAGCGTACAAAAGGAATTTTCGCAAGAAATCTGAGAAGAAATGAGCAGTAAATTTTTAAAATTAGTGCCAACTTCTCAGTAACTCCCTTTTCCCCGTTCACAAAGCAAATTTTACTATTTTTCTTCAAAATAAAAATAAATTCAAGGCTACAAAACTTGCCTGATCTCTATTCTCAGCTGTGCCCAGCCCGATAAACGGAATTCGATTTCCATCAGCAAGCTCTTTGGTGCCACCGGCAATGTTACTTGCATTGAACGCCATTTTTTGTAAAATTCTGAAATATTTAATTGGAACTACCGATAATTGTATTATTCGAAAGGAATACCAAAAAATGAAAAATGCAAAATTTTCTATAAGCAGACTCAAAAATTTATGCGACCAAAGACAGTTCTTTAAAAGTCAGACAAGATGAAAAGATAACTGAACATCAAAAATACGCCATGGTGGAAAAGATGTCCATTCTATACCGAATAACCACCCTTGAACGAATAATGGGCTAGAAATAGGAGAGAAGGGATTTGATGGTATTTTTAAGATATTTCTACGTTAAAAATTGTTTGTCATTAGTACCACCATCTCAGGATGACAATAAGGTACATATGCCAAAGTCAAACCGGCTGAAACAATTTTCTAATGACAGCAAACAAACGACAAAATGATCACCAAGAATCGTTAGGATTTGTTTCTAGTGATGGCAAGATGTTCGTTGGGTCCTCGATTGCATGGTGAGGAATATTTTGCTATATTTCTATCTCAGAATAACAATTTTTGCAAGTGTTTGTTCAACTAACTTACCTTCACAGAAAAGGATCACCATTTGTGTCATATTTTCCCCAATGTATCACAATAGTAGCCAAATTGGCTGTTGTTAGACTAACAAAAAGAGTTAAAGATCAAGCGGTCGCATTTGTTATTGCAGACAGTAGTTTCATGAAGAAAAGCAAAGCATTAAGCATTACATTTTTTAAATATATTAATTCATTCCGAAAGTACAGTTCATTTATAAAATCGTGACGATGGATTTTGCTGCGGACTTCGAGTCCACAGGAGCATAAAACGCTCATACAAGAAGGCATCACCTCAAGTTTAGCTCAGTCACTTCCAGTGTCTAAATACTACCTTACGTAAACTAGAGAAGAAAACCAAGAAATGCGATTTCCGGAAGTGGCGTGCGTGTCGCGCGCGGTCGCGCCATCGTCACGATTTTCCTAATGCCCTATAGTTTCGCCTTAGGAGCGCTACAACCCGCAAAACAAAAATTCTTGTAAGTTCTGGGGAGCATTCAATGCGGCTTTTCATCCTCTTTGAAGAACATTTCTAAATTACAGTACATCGCATTTTCTGCCAAGGTCAAAATTCATCTAGGGCAAGTAGGCAAATTTCTTTACATAGAACTTTTTCATCAGCTTTCAGCGATTTGCAGATTCATTTCTAGAAGTGCCGAAATTTTGCTAAACGAAATATGTTTAACTGCTCTTAAAACTCTGAATTTCTAATTTTGAGATGATCAATGCTTAATTACTGCTGGCCTCCAAATAGGCGATATTGCCAAGCTTTCTTTGCTTTCAAAAATGTGGATTTGGTGCATTGTGGCCATGGGCAGGTTGGTGCTAGAAAATTAAGGTTTTGCGAGAAAATATATGGAAAACGAAAACGTTTGGTTAGACTGCTCAGAGAGAATGATGCATGTATCTGTGGGCTACTCAATCTTTGCTGGGAAACCTGAAATTAGAATTTGTGAAAAAAATCGAACTTAGGCATAGTAGCGGTAGGTCAATTGAAAACAACGCAGAACTTTTCTAAACAGGATTTACAGCTGTCGACCTGCTAATTAATTGATAAGTGTATTGAATATTGCATCAAGCATCAATGAATTATCTTTATTCAGATCGATTTGGGCTCGGTCAAAAATCCGAATCTTTCTTCGCAAAGAATAGTTACTGTTTTAGAAAACTGATTATGACTTTAACAGGTCTAAGAGGAATTTTCTGATTTCTTATACTCCAATTTCAGCCTTGCTGCCTTACTGATAGCGCACTTAAAACAAGTGTTTCTTGCTTGACCAATTTTTTCACCCATTTCTAACTTTTGTTCAAACTTAGCTATGGAACAATACTAGAACGGAAGTACTAGAGCTTTTTCTTTAATCTGGAATCTCAAAGTGGCTAAAAGTTTGATAAGGTTAAAACAATAGAATAATGAAAGCGAGCGACCTGTGGCCTAAGACAACTTGGCTAGATGTTGACAGAATTGCTGCAGACACAGCACACACGCCCATTCACCGCGCAAATAGTAAACAACGTGTATAGATAGAGAGGTGCGAGAGAAGCTCAATGATCAATTTCCCGAAGGATTTGAATTTCCCCCTTTGGCAGACATTTTCCAGGTAAGGATAATAGAAATGAGAGTCCCGTGAGTCCTAACATATTGACATTTATATACTTTTTCAAAATATTCACATTTTCGAAAGTTCTTGAACATCGTAACCTATAAACGATTTTTTTACAGAAACCAATGGTTTTTAGTGACTCGTACCATCGTATCCTTCAATATGATGTGCATGCACTTATAGCTATAGTATATACCGTTCGTCGATGAGATGAAATGTGCCATTTTTTTGCTCGTTTTTATTTTTATTTCTAACAATTCTATGACTGGCATATATGAACCAGGTAAGCGCACAATTTCTGTTACACTTTTTTCTTTCTAATTCTAGAATAACCCAGGAACTTCCGAAATCATCAGATTTGTGCGCTATATAGGGCACAATAGGGCCTACATCTCAGCATAATTAATGCCCCAAATGCACTAATGTCAGAAACTTTACGACAGTTTTGTAAGCACTCAAAGTTTTGTTTCTTTGATTTCCCTGCGTCAAAGTTCTTTTTTTCTCTCCTTTAATTTTTTGGGATGTAATTTTCTCTGTCTCTTTTATGGCAGCGTTCTGGTGCCGCAGCATGTCAAAAACGAGGGGTTCAAAATTACAGAATGATTGTTTCCTTTTTTTCGTGCATCGTGTAGTATTCGAAATGGAGGTACAGAAAAGCAACTTTTGTCATTTTTACAAAGAGATTTAACATTTTGACCCGGAGATTATTCTCCATGTCAAAATGGGAAATCATGAAAATTTAAATTCCAAACCCTTATTTTCAAGTATAGCGCAGACCTTAATTATTTTTTATGTTCCTGAAGGGCTTTTTTGTTTCAATAAAACCATAAATCTTCTCGTTTAGTGAAAATGGTCCTTGTATTGTGATGCGTTATTTTAACTATTTTGAAGACTGTATTTTTTATTTTTAACAGATATATTTTCCGGAAAGCGGCATATTATATTTCGCTGGAAGGTTGTGTCACCATAGCAATTCAGTTTATTTTTTTTCACCTTTTCTCTCGTAAATTGGAAAAATTCTGTAGCGTTCAAAACATTTCAGTGACTGTATACCCTTTGCTTCAACGAGGTTGGCGGCAGCACGGCGACCGCTCGCGCCTGCGACGCAGTCTGCGTCTCTCACACGAAAGTGCTCTCTGATAATTTCTAGTCTTAATTAGGTCATAAGACTCCGCTTTCCAGCCGCCAATCCAATTGAATCAAAGGGTATGGGTCTGCTGTCTGCATATTCCTAATAGGAAAATGATTTCACACTTCTTTATTTATCCAATAATGTGATAAGCGGGAAAAAATGTGTACGAATATATAATTACTTGATACACTTCATTATACACAATACATGATTGATAAATTTGAAAAAAATGTTTACAATTATATGATACAAAATATCGAACAGAATTCCTGGAATTTGTTGAACGCAACATTTATAAGATTCTCCATGATTGGCAACCAGGGCAGAATGAAGCGTGTCGATCAAGCAATCTTAGTGATTTCATTTCTTCGTCCGTCATCTTGATTGTTGGAGCCTCAAAATGCGATCATAAATTTAAGATAAAGAGAAAAGGCATTTTTATGCCATTGAGCTAAAAAAATCATGATTAGCATATGCCAGGAGCTATCAACAGGAATGAGCAATTCTAAGCTGTTCGCTGCCTATGAGCACAACTCGTTCGATTTGACGCCCTCCCTCCTCTCTATTTGAAGCCTGACCAATCAGAGCCGATATGCTGACCAATCAGACGCCGCAAATGCAAACGTTCATATGGCCGCGTCCTAATCATTACGGAAATGTGACAAACCTTAAATAGATTATCTTCAATGTGGGCTGGATTACCCGATCTGGGAACAATTCCAACACCAGAGTTCAAACCGAAAGCATAGAGGAGGATCTGAAAAACATATTCTCTATCGCTTATCTTCTCTCAAGGTTTATTCCAAAGATTTGTCGCTTCCTTGCCCTTAAGGGCCGGGCATACTTCACGCGATTTCAGTCGCGACGCGATTTGGCAATTCGCCAGAAACTTCAGATCCAACACTAGCAAACTGCACATGCATAGTCTGTGTAACTTACGTAAATTGATAGAATGTCCTATCTTTTCTACTTTTAAAATGTGCTTACAATGAGTTATAGACACTTGGAATATTGCCAAACTGTGTCGCGACTGAAATCGCGTTGAGTATGCCCGGCCCTTTTGGATGCATTGACCGTACGCTCCGCCTTCCGAGACAACTCGCACTAACTTCCCGGAGTTGATGGCCCAAGAAAATGGGATGGCCTGCTTCCACAAATATGGCAATTCTTTTTGTGAGGAAAGGATGGGAGGGGGGGGGGGGTAGACAAAGTTTACATGATACTAGTTGAAACATTTTTGAGAAGAAGGTTCATAATTCCCTGAAAAACTGAGGAAAAGGGAAGTTTCATCGATCAAATTAATTTTTTCAAAATTTATGAAATCATTCAATACAAAACCACGTACACAATCTTTACTCACCCACAATCAATAAATTCTATGTGAAGGGGGCGGGGAATTTTTATAGAAGATCGTGATAATGAGATAAAGTACTTTTCAAGAAGTTCAGTGGATTTTGGCAAGTTTCCAACGCCAGAAATTCGACAATTTCAGAAAATTTCTGAGGTTAATACTGATATATTATACGTTCACTAGATAATAGATGAAAATGGAATGCATGATTTTTGCTCAAGTACAACCACGAAATCCGCGTCCCATTCCTAGGTGATGGGCACAACTTTCCGCCTCCCCCTCCCCCCCCCCCTTCCGTTCGAAAAAATACCCCGGAAATAATCGATTCAAAATAAAATCAGTGTAAAACCAACATGTGGGGAAACCTTGTACTTCTCTGAGAGCTTCATAACAGGATCTTCCACCAGAATTTCTTTGTTATCCCACAGTTGGGACGAGAACGCCTAAATTTCGCTTTCACGTTTTTTTCCAGGCTCAAATCTAGAAAAAAAAAACGAACCTGAACAAAAATATTATTGCTCTCACAAAAATGTTTCAGTATTGGTCTTGTGATATATGGAGTAAATTCGAGCTGATTCATGACAGGGCGTTGCTGGAAAAATTGCATTTTTTGTTTGCAATTTAGTGGTCTTAAAAATAGAATAGGTAGATCAAAAAGCTTACTTTTGCATATTCAAATAGCTCCATCAGATGATAGACTTCATAGTTCGACACTCCGATGGATTTTACAATTCCACGCTCTGCAAAAAAATTTCGACCTTTGGAAAAAAGGGGCTTTGGTAAATTGGTACCTTTGAATTCTTCCATTTTCTGCCAAAGTTCTTTTCTTCCTTTCTTGTTGGTCTCAAGATCATCATCACTACCTGTGTCCCTATCCCTTGGAGCATGGATCAAAAGCATGTCAACGTAGCTAAAATCATTCCACTGATTTTTTCAGCTAAAACCGATTTGTCAACCCGCGTAATCTACGTACTCAGTTCTGAGTTTATCCAACGATTGTTTAATGCTGAATTCGGCCCAATCGGCAACTTTTCCATTCATGATTTGAACTTTTGTTGTGATAAAAATATCCTCTCGTTTAAGTCCAAATTTTGGGAGATTTTCCTGAAGAGCCAGTTATTTCTCAGCTCATGAAATGTATTGGATTTACCGCTAGAGCAATTCCAAGCTCTTCCTCATTCTGATAGTGTTCAGCGGTGTCAATGAGGCGATAACCAGCTTTCAGAGCTGCTTCAACTGCGGTACTTATTCCTTCCTGTAAAGACTTAGATCATAGTTTCAGAAACCTTTCCAGAGAATAATAGGTGAGATCGCATATCCCATATGAAGTGGAAAAGCGAATAGAAAATTGCTGAAATTCACTCCATCGGGTCTTAATGGCGGAGGAACTAATTGTATTAATGACTTCAATTCATTTAAAAATTCATTTGTTTTCTGAATAGCACTTCCATTTTAGTAAGAACACTACTTTTAAGCTAAGGTTGTTTTCTATATCCTCTTGACATTGTTAGAAAACTTAGGCAAAACCAGAATTATGGACTTTAAGGTTGTACAAGCAGACCGCTTTTCTACATAGATCCCCATCTGAGTCGTTCTAGGTGAAGTCTGGAGAAACTAAAATCTTCACAATACCCTAAAAATTGGATCTCCTTCTAGAAAATCCCACGGACCTCAAAATCATCATCATACCGTAGACACATAGTATGTATATGATTTTTTCAGGCCCAAAATCAGAAAACAGAAATAGCCCAAAAAAGTGTTATCACATTTCAGGTTGTTGAAAACTTGGTATTTCTCGACTAACAGGACACGTAAAGAAATGTGATTTTAAGGTTGCAGTTATAAAGCTTGCACTATGTAGTCACGTATATGGGAGGAGCTTGGGTGGAGTTTGCCATTCTTAGAATGCTTTGAGTATTTTTTCCGTGTTTATGCGCGAAAAAACTTAGCGAATTCGATACTACTATGTATCTGCTGTACGATGACTAGTTTGAAGTTTCCTAGAATTCCTTTTTCGGCAAAATTCCGCAATCAGGTGATAATTCGATTTCTGGCTTCAAACTCTATATGATCTATGATTTAGGCGGATCCATGCTCTTGCAGAGCTTGATTTGCTTCATAAAACAGTGCCCTAAATTTCCTAAGACAACAAAAACAGTTTGATTTATTCAAAGAGGGTTTACTTTTGGGCAATTTAATGTATTTCTACATACCATTTTCTTTTCCATGATTTGTGATTTTTGATCATCCATGGCGGAACGGTGCCAAGGCTACATAACCGACCTGATCTCTGTTCTCAGCGGTGCCCAGACCGATCAACGGAATTCGATTTCCATCGGCAAGCTCTTTGGTGCCACCGGCTACATCAGCTGCCACCATTCTGAATGTTGATAGTAGACGCTTCTGAAAAGGAAAAAAGAAATCTGTTAGTAATTGAAAAGTAGCCCAGAGCGAAATATCTACGGCGTAATGATGAATGAGATTCAACTGAAGAGTAATTATACCGATTCTATAGGTAAAGTAATGGAGGTTAGTATTTCAATCATTTTTCAACCTTCATGAAAACCACGGCAAAAGGAAAAGTCAAAGGACAAAGTCATACCAGCATTCCAACTAGAAAATCACTTCGAAAAAATTACTCGTAGGTGAGGTAGCACGATCCTAAATAAGTCCGATTTTTTGATTTATTGAATTTTAGATGTTGCTTTAACTAATAGCGATATACCTTGATATCTAGATAGTGGGAAAGGCAAGCGACCATAGAAGATCTCCACAGAATTATTCGGAGTACACAATCATCTTCATATCAAAAAAAACTTAAGGTTTTACAACAACGTTTCTTAAGAAAAGCGTCATCGTTATTTTGCAAGCATTTAACTAGCATTTAACAAAACATTGGGTAATTTTGATGAAATGTTAAGTGCATGTAAAAAAGCAATTCCATCAAAAACATTTCGAAAAGAGTTCAAAAAGCTTAGCACTGCAAGCTTAGTTACATTCAGTTCCTATGCCTACCTATAATTATTCGCTATGTAAAATCTACACTTACCTTTCATTTAGTCTGGTTTATTAAGAACAACGAAAACGTGACTGTTCGTAACGAAGTTTGACAAATTTAAAATAGCAGTCAACCCAAACACACCCCCATTTTTCAGTGAACGCTAGTTCAGCTTTGAATCATTTTTTTCTTTACAACGTTACTCAAGTATCATTTCCTGCCGCCTTTTATACCCTGCTCTTATGTTTAAAGGAGATCATATAAAACTGCGATTAAAGGAGAAATAATAAAAGTGAGAGCGAGCTGTAGCCCAGCCATTGCTACAAATAGATGGCGAAACTGCTGCAGACGGCTGCACCCGCCCCTTCAGCGCATAAATAGTAAACAACATGGAGAGCGAAAACAACATGTAGAAAAGGGAGAACTTAGAGAGAGGTTCATCGATCAAACAACATGGAGCCAGACGTCTGTCGGATGTAAACATCGTGTTGAAGGTTGCAGGGTTGCAGAAATTCAAGGTGCTTTGAGCGCCCAAAACTAAAAGATTCCAGTTCCCAAGTAAAAAAAGCCAAAAAAAAAATACATCAAGTTGCTGATACTTGTAAGAATTCAAGTCGTACGCCTCAGACGCTGATCTCATCCGCCCAACTCAAGAAAACATGGCTAAAGTTCAAATTAGACAACTGCGACTGATCACCTATAAACGTGATTGAGAAAATCAAGCTTGCACCCGCCATACGAGATTGTATGGAGGAGGGTAAGGGGAGGGGGGGGGGGGAGGAAGAGGCGGATCAAGTGAGTTTATTTTCTGTTTTAGTGGTCACTGCATCAAGAACCATCAAAGAAATACCAAAACCTTGGACATTTCCAATGTTTTAGTGACAGAATTTTTTCTCAACGAAGTTCCTCCTCATGACAAGCCCTTCGAAGAAACTTCTTGGAGGCTTTGTAAGGACTTGCTGTTGTATGCTTGCCTAAATTTTCTCAAATTTAACGCAGATTTAACAAAATTGCAAAATATAGAAATCGATGCACAAAACGAAATACTGCAAATGCAAAACAGACCTAAATCAACATCGTCGACATTGCGACGCAAATGACAGCATCAAAACCCGTGGTAGCCTAGACTGTATGGATTTTGACATTGCTTAACACACAGGAGAGAAAAATGTTCGAATCTTGTAGGTCAATGATAAAAAATATCACATACTACCTGTGATAAAACATATTGCAAAGGTATCTAAAAATAATTTTATAAAGCCTTTTATCAGGAATGAAAAAATATCCGCTGACCGAATTGGCTTCACTTCATGCCATTTTTTAACACGCGTTTTTCTGCGGTATACCACGCGTACCGCAAAAGTTGAGCCACGTACCCTTCGATTCAACTGGCTTGGCGGCTGGAAGGCTGGGCTTCGTGAAATTAAGGCTAGATAAAGATCAGAGAGCACGCGCGCGGGAGAAACGCAGACAGCGTAACGGGCGCGAGCGGCCCTAACTAGGTAACAGCCCCGCCTTTCAGCCGCCAAGCCATATTCAAAGGTTATATTTAGCGCGATGATAGCTTTAGGGGGAGAGGGTTGGACAGTTTTTTTAAATGAAAGGACCATCGGCCACCCCCCTTCCTCTGAAGATTTTTGATGAGCTTTTCAAGATTTTTTGCGGCTTGATCTTGTTGCGCTCTAAAAAATTTCTTTGTCTGAGCCAGAAATTTTTGGAGAAGCTGGAAATCATTTCAATTACACAAAATGATAAATAGCCATTTAACCGTTTTATAAACATGTATAGAGGATCTGTAAGTTAATACGCGTATTTTACACTATGCGCGCTAATTGACGGTTTGTAAGAAACTGCTCATTTCCAATAATTTCTCCTTGTTTTCTTGTTTCTTTGGTGTGTGGAAGTGCATTAATTAGTAGAACATATTTTTACAGTTTATTATGCTAGAAAATGTCTTACTGGGGTACTAGTAAGGGTGACTTCGCCGCGTATAATCAAAGTCAAGAAAAAACTCTGAAGAAATCTGAAGATTCATTCTAAATTCGCTTTTCTGTACTACCAGTTCCTCAATTTACAAAACTTGTGGTTTTTTTATTGCAAACGAATCACACCGTAAATTAAGCAACTTTATTGCTAAATGTACATAATCGATACATAAGTCGTATAGATTGACTGTCACTACTCCTACAAAAATTGTCGACAACAGAAAAATTCCGATTTCCATTAAGGCAGATCCGCATCTTCTGCGTCGTCTTCAAGAGTCAGCTGGTCTCGTGTCTCGTAGAGCACACATTTATGATCTCCCCATTTCAGCTAAAAATGCCAACATTCAGTAAGCCAGTATTACGATATCTAATGTGAAAATGGCCTTTTTGCACAGCTACAGTATGCTGCCTAACTTCAACGGCACTTTTGCACCACTACAGTAGGCTCCGGCATCTAACGCAGAGTACCGATAAATGCAAATCGTACTTCCTCTCTTTTGATCATCGTCAAAAAGCCAAACAATATATTCCCGCCTTCTCAGTCGCGAGCTATTATGCAGGCGTACAGTAGTGGTGCAAAAGGGCCCACACCCTTTTATGCCAATCCTTTGGCATAATTTAAGCATAATCGCTCGACTTACACTTTGCGCAGGACTCTTAAAATCTTTCTTGTCCTTCTCTTCCTCTTCTTTATCTTCCTTTGATTTCATTTCTTCTTCAAGTTTCTCTAGTTGCGCTTTTTGCTTCTTCGGGTCCTTAAACGAAATTTCGTTGTTGTGCATGATCTTTAAAGAATTTTCTTACCGCTGATTCATCATCGATATTACCAATTTTCTTCACTAGCAAAGGATTCACAACTGTTTGTGCCATAGCAGCTCTCACAATGAAATCATTCAAATCTACCTAAAATTAATATCGTACTTATACCGTATCAAAGAGCACTCTAAGCTCACATCGGGTGGTGGCTTTTTTAAGGCTTCCGAGAAATCAACTTGGGCTTCTGGCCATTTCCTAGAGAAAAGTGCTATGAAAATTTAGTTGGAAAATTTCACAAATTTTCCCACTAATTTGGAAAGGAATTTTTGTGATCACAAAGGCAGGACTGTGTTTTTTATGTTTCTCTTCACGCAGAAGGTTGCTATATGGCTTAATACAGCAAATCTGATCAGTTTCTCAAGCATCGAATTCCGTCAGCGAAAAGTGGTCCCCGCATAATCTACTGTGGAGAGGTAGGTTGAAGCTCAGTCAAATATTAGGCCATTGCTCATTTAATTCCAACAGTTAATGTTCAAAAAATCCAAAAGAGAGAAAAATCACGAACTGGTTTTCAGTTTTCACGATGGGGACCAGTTCTCGTTCGTTATGACTTCAGTCATCTTGCCTCAACAACGAGGGGTTCTATCACTAGACATAAACCACCATCTCCAAAATTGACCCCATAGGAATGGGAAAGATATTAGGTGGAATTTCATTTTTGAAAAAGCTTATGAAATCCTTGACAGTCGGTTGTTCGCGTAGGAACATTAGAACTACTCACAAAAACGTGCCGCAAATTGCACTCTGTCCCGCCCATAAATTCAAAAATCCTTACGGAGGCTCGTCGCTTTTGTTTCCCGATGATGGCCCTTGTTTCTTTTCAGCGCTTGGAATTTTCTTTTGCTCATGCTTGGCTCCACTTGTTCTTGACTCTGAACTGTGAATCTTCTTATCATAATCGTCCCATACATCCGATCTAGCCGACACTTCAGCAGATTCTTGCTGCTTCTGCTGAAAAAGCTTGATTTTGCATTAGGCAGACAACCAGACAAATACATGCGGCGCGCGTCGCATGAGCGCGCCTCCGCAAGAGAGCTGGATAAACTTACAGCACGCTTTCTTTTACTTTTACTACCTCTACTTTTCGGTGTTCTCTCAGTTCTGGCCACCTAAAAACTGCTGTCTCGATAACTCCGTCCTATTCTGAAAAAATTTTTTACCCGTCTTGTTCTCGTTCGCCTTCGAGCACAATTACTTATTCCCAAAAGCATAGCCATAAATGTTAAGAATAAAGTGCAGGTTCGTGACAGCACTTCTGAAATTTTAGGTCCCACTTGGAAAGGCTAGGCAGTATAGGTACCTATATCTTGAATTGTAATAAGTGAAGTAGACATAACCATGCGGTTTGGTTAAAAACTAAAAATGAATCCATACTTGATGGGAGGAGTTTAGCGAATTGACAAAAATGATATTTGCACACTGTAGTAATCAATATCTGCGGCAATTCAAACTTCTTTTTCATTTTGAAACCCCGAACATGGCTATGTAAACAAAATCGGGTCGGCGACGAGAATGCGGGGCTCCCGCGGATTTTCGGACTCCTAATTTCTTTGATGTGTCAGTCTCGTTCGCAATGTTTGTATTTTGCTCCAAAATTGTGCTTTCCGATGTCACCGAACGTGATCCACTTTGCTTTGTCACTTTTTTGCATATTTGTCTTACAATTCATGTTATTGATCTTATTGATTTTTCAGGGGCACGATTTATGCTCAGGATTGCGTTACTGCTTTCATTTTCTGTCAATACTTATTGCCACATTGCTGATGTAGACAGACTAGAGCATGATATAGCCAAGTTTCTGGCGATGCCTAGGTAAGGGAAAATTCATAACTCACAACATATGAAAGGAATAATGGGGGGAGGGGGGGGGGGAGGGGGAGGAATACAAGGTTCCTTCAAAACATCGTTGGTATCACCCTGCCAATATTTCGATTGCAGAGATTGCGTGCAAATTTTTTCAATCAATAAACTAATTACACCACCATAACGATAATCATTCCGCTCTTTACCAACTGATTTGATTCTGTACGATTTTTTGTTCATTTTTTCCCTGAAATTGTCGCGTATTTTTCATTCACCATTAACGAACCAGTTTTGCCTACTTTTTATTTTAATTACATTTCATTTACTCTATTTTACTTTGTCTACTGTCTTGATTTTTCCACATTTCATTCAAGTATTTGCCGTTCGTAAAGCTACCTCATTTTTTTTCATCTTTTGCTTCTTTTCTAGGATTTATCTACTTTTTGTCACTAATTCAATTACTTGAGGCTTTTTGTTTCTGGTTTTTGCTTTGTCAATACCCAGAATCGGTGAAATTTTATGATTCTCCCACAGAGCGGGGAGAAGGGGGGGGGGAATTTCCTTTTCTTGCCTAATATCATATAAGTGGTCTACTTATTTTGAATGCACAAACATTAATCATTTTGTGCTTCATTAGAGTCAAATATTTTTTTCCTATTTCTCAAGGTACACCTCATCACAAAAAGCTCGAGCGCGAATGGGTATACGACACGCACTCGATGCAATAGGACTGCAAGCTACTACTCATGCTTTCATTCCAGACGAAGAGGTAAAGTCACAGACGCAGCAATACACATTATCCGGCAGCGCGGCTCAATGTCTGCGTATCCTTCTCTGAGCTGCCGATTGGCGTGCAGCTTACATATTGTTTGTTTCAGCGATAAATATGATTTTAGGATGATCTTGGTGTCAATCTTCACGCTATTCAGCGTGGTCCACATTACGACTCACCAAATGACAAAGTAGTGGTGCTATGTGCAAACTACGATACGGAAAAAGATAATCCAGGTTGGTGCCTTATATTGAGACTACACCTTACATAGTTCAAAGAATGCGTCACTTTTGCACTGCTACAGTACCACTACACTGAAACTTTAACGTAAACCTTCAATAACCGCAGGGAGCGAGTCCTTTTTCGACTTTGCATACAACCAAAATAAAACTGGGAGTCCAATTAAAGCGACATGCATCGTCATACTGTAGCGGCGCAAAAAGGTCCCATACGACATTTGAGTTTGTTTTCCAGGAGTCGACGATAATGGCTCAGGTGTAGCAGCAGTGTTAGAAACAGCAAGAGCCATGTCCACTTTGGATCGACTTTACAAGAGGAATCATACAATTATCTATGCATTCTTTGACATGAAACACAAGGTATGTCTGTATGTTTGTATGTTCGATTACCCAAGCTTGGGTAACTAAACTTGGGCAATACTCAAAAGTGACTGTGGGACTCGCCTCTAAAAAAATTCCGGCTACCATAGAATCTCAATCATGACTTACCAGTCCAATGCGTTCTCTTTCATACTATGGCCGGTAGCCACGCATTCGTCGAAGAAGTTTTGCTACCGTATCTGATGCGGGTCCATGCTACCGTAACCGCTGTTATGGTACTCGATGGTGTACTACATTTTGACCCGTTTCCTGCTACACAAAGCACACCGGATGGATTCGAAGAGGTTTTCTGGCTGTTAATACTTTTATGAACCACTAGCTGGCTTACCCGGCTCCGCCGTATGTTCCGAATAGAAAATTCCATTTCTTAACCGATCCGGACCAACTTGGCACACATACACTTCGGGCCCCGGCGGGTGTCACAGTCCACTTTTCGTTATCGATCGATGTTGATTTTATCGATTTTTTGCAAAATTTGAGCTAGGGGGCTGGAATTTGGCAGAGGGGTGTAATCGAGCATGCTGATCACCCCCACGGGGGTGATCAGCATGCTCGATTACCCCCCTGTGCCAGCTCCCAGCCCCGTAGCTCAAATTTTGCAAAAAATCGATAAAATCAACATCGATCGATAACGAAAAGTGGACTGTGACACCCGCCGGGGCCCGAAGCGTATGTGTGCTAAGTTTGGTCCCGATCGGTTCAGAAGTGGAATTTTCTATTCGGAACATACGTACATATAGTCGTCCTCACCCCACTAGTCGGTCGGTGGACGAATTCGAATTAGAACTGGAGCAGGCAAGTCGCGGCAGAGCACGGCACCTTAGCTCTCCGTTCAAATTCACACATTCACTTTGCGTTTTTCTTCGTCATTGCTTGAAAGTTTTTGTGTGGTTACAAGTTTTTGACCTAAGTTGAGTTTTTGCAATTCGCTGAGCGTTGTCTCCTGTCGCTATGCTGGTATTTCGTGAGCTTTTGGAAACGAAGCAGATGGCAAATTTGGAGCATATCCACTGGAGCAACACATCTGCATATGCTACTTACTAAGAAAGGGACCACAGCATAAGTTCACCATCTGTATCGTTTCTCCACACTTACCTGTAAACAGAGTTGAAGAAACGAGTTTAGGAACACGAAACAACTTCCGACAACAACAAAATTGTCACTTTCTACAAACATACTTGTAGTTTAGACACTAGCAAGTAACGACCAAGAAACAAACGATAAGGAAACACGCAAAGTCATACGGGGGGGGACTCAGATGCCGCGCCCTGCCGCGACAGGCCTGCTTCAGTTCAAATTTGGATTCGTCCACCGACCGACTAGTGGGGTGAGGACGACTATACATACAGACATACAAACAGACATTCAGCTTTATATATAAGAATGATGTCTCTGAAGTGGGCGTGTCACAACTGTGCTGTGACTGGTCGAATTTCGATCAACCAATCACGAATTGATGCCTGCTTTTAGGTATTCCCCACCGCAGCTCGCGAACTTTATGAGCACAATCATATGGGAGGTTTTATACAGTTGATAGCACGAGCAGATAGGGACGATCTTTTGGTGAAACAGTAAGTTTTACTTTCCCTTCCCCCCCCCCCCCCCCTTCCCCGCCACCTTCCAAATCACAAAGCAATAATTCAGATTCCTTGCTGCATATTATCGTTCAGCCACCATGACAGCTGTCAACTCACCATTTAGTCCATGGTTATTGCTTCTACGATTACCTATCGATGCTGTTCAGTCCAATGAGGACTTGCACAGGTTTTCAGCTCTTTTTTCTAATTTCGTGAAGAGATCTCCAGAAACTTCAACGTTTCAGACTACATCCCTATCTATTCGCCGACCATTCATCTTTCATTTTTCATTCAACCCCAGATATTGACTTGCCTATAATTTATTTAACTGATACGTGTAAGTTTCGATCTCAATTAACTATCATTCATTCTCTGACTAACAAGAAGAGACGCGAGACTTTGCGTACTCCTAATTGAAGGCAGTGTCCAGGCTAAATCTAACCCCTTCCGATTAGGGTCGATCCTGAATGTAGGCCCCACGAGAAGGACATCTGCGTTCGTCCGGTCCCTTAATGTTGTCTCTGAACGGAGATAAGGGGCCTGGAACTGCCAATGTGCTATCAGACCCCGCCCAAATCTTAACAGACTCCGCCCACTCATGTACTGAAAGCCGTCCGCGCCCTCAAGACGGGTCCCCTGAAATCGTGTTTTTGGAGGTTTTGGAGAATTTAAACTTCATAACTGTAATCAGGCCACAGAAAGGCCCGGAATGGCAAAAACGTGGGAGGCAAAATTTTTGGGTGGACGCTGCCTTTAACAAGTTTATGAGTGCTTTTAACGCGTTTTGGTAAAGCACTACCGGAAACTCGTGAATAGACATGTTTGAACTCAAATTATTCGACCTTGCTCGAACATGTTCTTACAAGAACCTAGTAGTAAATCAATCAAAACGGGTTAGAAGTCACCCATGAACTTGTCAATCAATCGTACGCAAAGCGTACTCGCGTCTCTTAGTCATCGAAAAAATGATACTTGACTCCCTCCCAATCCCCTTTTTCAGTGAACCGACGCGGGGTTCTCCAGTACTGCTCGCATTGTGGAGGACTGTACATGCTTACAAAAGAGAATCTCCGATTTCTTACTGTTGTTACGGATGCTATCATACGAACAGTGATTCAAATGAGTGAATCCGAGGGTAAGCACCTTGAAAAAGAAAAAAGCTTTTTATATCCGTGCAAACATGAGAAATGTGGGGGGGGGGGGATCTACGACATCTACGGTATTTTCGTTCTCATGCAAAAGACACCTGGTGGATTTCTGATGTGAAATGGATCAGGTCAGTTACTCGTTGGTTGAGCAAGACACCCTCAAATCAACTTACACGCTACCCGTGCTCTACTCCAACCAGCCTGCTCCACTTCAGATCTGAAATCGTTAGATAGTTGTCTACTGGGATGGAGACAACTTGACATTGATACAGAAAATGAATCTTATTTTTAGTCAATAGCTCATGATTCAAAGTTGCACAGAAAAAGATTTTTTCCCAAACTTCCCCACTGTATTTTTTGATCGCAGTGCACGGCCTTATGAATAGCATCATGCTGAGAAACACAGACCTTTTTTCGTTCATTTATGATGGCACAGCATAATCCTCCACCTTTATTAGTGAAATTCGAAATCTGGTGCACATTTCAACTTTCTATATATACTGTAGTGCCATATGCAACAAAATATGGTATTTACAGCTTACACAGTCGTGGACGAGCTATACTTCGACCAAAGTGCGAGATGATCAATTGCTTCAGTGGCTTGCAATGCAGAGGCAACCTCATACATACCGGTCCTTGTTTGTACATTTCTGTTTGTGATTTCTGGTGTTTTAGTCATTCTAGTCCACACCGTTATGAAGTTATGATAATTCGAACAAACGACTCACAGTTCGAAATCTCAAGATTTTTGAGAAAGTGTTCCGCCGTGCTCACTAGAAAACACTGTACTTTAAGCTTTGTCCTCTCCAAGTTTTTTCACATTGTCTCCGCCCCCGCCACGCCCTATCCGCCTTAAGTGCGCTCTCTCCACGCCCCCTTCACATATGTTCTTGTCGTGGTACATACAGTTTGAACAGAGCTATCAATAATGTTTTATTAATTCAAAAACATACATATAAAAAAAGAATACTGGGTGTAAACACCCCGCACTGGGTAGAAAGGAGAACGGACATCACTTGCTGCTGCTCTACGCGTCGCGCTGCGACTTTTTTTATATCAACACATCCATCCACATGCATCACGCATGCGCTACATTGACGCCAAACATTACATTGTGAAAAAAGGTAAAGATGTTATTATGGTAAGTTGTGGGTAAAGTATACGTTTATACTGGCCCGCAAGATGTTGGCGTTTTCAGCGCTTGCGGATGCGTAAGCGGCGTGGACTCAAGCGCCACAATGTACACGCATGTGAGCAACGAGGGAGTACACAAGACAAACGGGGGTTCGAACAGTTTCTTCGTCGTAGTTCCACACGCTCCACCCACTTTTTAATACCACAATCATAAGTTCTTTGGGCGGAGCTTGCGAGACCACGCCCACACAAATATAGAGGAGGAACACAGGCGGTGACGTGTGGCGTTGACGCAACTCGCTCTGGGCTCAAAATGGCGAAAGACGGCCGTCGAGCGGATCGCGCGCAGCGCCCTCGCGTCGCGTCGCCGCACTACACCCTGTTCTTGCTACAGTATGCCCGAAATTACAAATACAATAGAAAATTACAAGAGAATCGATTGTACTCTTTTTTTGCTGATATGGTAAGGCATACCTAAGGCGGAACAGGATGCGTGGGGGCGGGTGGGGGTTACTAGACGAACGATTGCAAAAACGTATTTCCATTTCAATCACTATTTTGTGCGTGTGAGGGTGGTTGTTGGGGGGTGGGAAATTAGCTTGAGGCGTTGCCCGCTCGGCATAAATTCTCTATAATCGAAAAAATATGGGCAATACACAATTGGTGGATATATATAGCAAATTCATGTAGAGGAAGGACTGGGCGGGGCACACTCGTAGACGGCGGTACTCGAAGGAGGAGGAGGAGGAAGAGAGGAGTGGGAGGAGGAGCTGAACAGCAGATTATGTGGAGGGGGTAGGGCTAATAGTATTGGCGACAAGGGGCGGGGAAGGGGGACGAATTTTGTTTACAGACAGACAGAAGATAACATAAACACCAGAGATGTGTATGATTGACCGGGTGTTTCGAGGAGGTAACAGAGACACACAAAGTGCACACCAAAATACGCGCAATTACGGTAAGGGTTACACCGGACCGTGAAGAGGGGGGATATTTGGTGTGAACACAGTAGTGAGTGCATGCTGAGTGACAATTGACAATGACAATGACAATATAACAGGCATACATGAACATTGTACATTGATCGGTATTGATTTTGGAGTCTGAGGAGAGCGCAGTGAACAAAAGAAACTGTAAAAATACAGTACAATATGTGTGATGATCAACAATATAGTTCAGCGCTAGAATATTCGAAAATCACTACGGGCTTTGTGAGAACCGCTTATCATAAGAAAAACATTTTCGTGGAAGACGCACGATTTGATGGGAAAAAAATCAATAAAAATTCGTTAACATAGTATAACAACATACACAGAAAACACACCGGACACGAAGGCCTGTCGTTATGGGGACATTTGAGTGTGAGTGGCACAACGCTACGCGACACGCTACGCAAACGCTGCGCAACCGCGCGCGCGTGGCCAAACTCACAAGAAAGTACGTATGAGTGGTGAAAAAAAAAAGAAATTAGGAAATTATGAAGGATACAGTTCTCGATTACTGTATGTATATAACCGCTAGAGAGAATATTATAGACGAGTAGTAGACAGACGAATAGTACAAAACATACTCAGAAACACTGTTCAAAACACAAAAAAATCAAAAAAGGCGACTGACTCATACTACGAAACGTCTAGTTTGATTTAGTACGTGTAGTGCGAAAGTACGCGAATGAAGACGACAAAAAAATTAGATGAAATGAAGAAAAAACTCTGAATGTACACGGTCAAATCATATGACTGATTGACTTACACTTACTCAAATAATGACTGACTGAAACGACGCATGCATGTACAGCAGGTAGAAGAGAGAAAAAAGTGTTCTTAGATTGTATTGGATTGATGACACGGTCACTAGATGGAGCCCTACGTCTACGAAATCTTCTACGACCAACGAACGAACTGGTACTTTGTAATGATGTATGGAACGATGAGCACATTTTCGCAGGATCAAACAACGGGTTTCTAGCTCTCTCTCTTGGGGGATACGGTATACGGTTAGATTTCTCTTGATGAAAGTGTGATGGTTGGCGTGTGTGGGTCAACCGCTAGTAGTGAGCTGTTCATAAAGTATATCATGGATGTACGGTAGAATATCAGCGAAGAAGGGCAAATAGAGGAGTGCCGAGCATCTCGACCGCAAACGGCTGATATCTAAAAATGTAATCATACAACAGCGGAAAAGTTAGTCCTGCAAACAAGGCATAAACCGCCAAAATCTGAGGATCTGACGGGCACTACAATAATCCTACAGTAACCTTACGCAAAGTCTATAGAGCTGAAGAATTTTTCTGGTTTCTAACTACTATTTTCCGCTACATCTTCGTTGTCCTTCACTGTGCTCAGCACCATTTTAGAAAAAGGCCTAAGCTGCGCGCGGAGTGGCTCGTGCCAGTGCCGTTCCAGCGCCGTGCTAGCACCGTGCCAGAACGTTGATCGATCGATATGGCATGCGTCCACTGGATTCCGGTATGGCGTTAGCACTAATCTGTCATAAGGCTGGAACGGTGCTGTCGCTCACCATCCAAGGTCTTGGCATCGCGTCTGAGTTCATGCAAGCTTACTGTAGGATCACTGTAGTACTGATCAGATCGACATTGCAATATTGCTACAATATTTGCAACGAAAGCGGGGATGACTGGAGAAAAATACAGTTTGAGTAACACCCTCCACCTCTTTCTCTTGCAGAAAAGGTAAAAAGCAAAAAAAAGAACAATCAAGCATAAGTCACCAACCTGGCGCTACCACCTGCTGCTTTTGGTTGTTCCTTAATGACTGCGGCGCCAGTTACACCTTGTTATGGTAGGTGTGCAGCGGTTGGGGTGACACGTACAAGCCACCGTCGCCAAATGGTTGACCGGCACCAAGGTTTGCATAGAGAGCCGCGGTCGCGTCAAATGGTTGTCCGGCAGCATTTCGAGCCGCTACGGCTGCTGCCGCACTCGATGACGATCCTGGTGACGATGGTAGACCGGTGTAGCCGGGCACTTGGTTGAACACTGAAAAGAATTGCTTTGAAACACTGGGACACATTTTGGGTAAGATATGTGCGTGAAATGATGAACTACGGCTTCCGAATCCGCAGAATTCCTATGGTATATCTTAAACGCACCGTCCACCCAAAATGAGAGTGGTGAGATTTTGATGCTCAGCTGAGTCTCTAACTAAGCAATCGCCCAAGTCTCGCTGCAAAAAAATGGAATTCGAAACGAGAAATTTACTCCGAAAGGTAGAAGCGATAAAGGTGGCTCCGCCCCTTGACGTGGGCGGTCTGAAGGTAACGAGTTCGAAATTGGACTTCAGGGTAGATAGAAAAGTAGAAAATCCAATAGCTATAAGTATGGGTGGATTAACGACACTTCTAGGGACTTTGAAGCCCAATTTTGGACTTTGCTATCTTCAGACCACCCACGTTGGTGGGTGGAGCCATCTTGGACGCTCGCACCTTCTGAAGCGATTTTCTCGGTCCAGAATTGATCTTTTGCGGCGGAACTTGGATGATTACTTAGGAACAATGCTACGTACCGTATCAAAATCTCATTACCTCCACATTGATTAGACGGTCTTTTTATCCCAAAATTACTCCAAATTCAGATAGATCGCCTAAGGTCACCAATTTTACGATCACGTCTATTCTACAGATTACGCATGCCATCGGCGCAACTAGAAGGCCTATCTACGCACCACCTACTACTCCCCTACTAGGAACTGTATTTTACACCACCATCACATATCTACACATTTAAACCACACTTTCTATTGACCTGCCAGCTCCAACGGTGGAGCGCATTTGAAAAGCATGGGATTACCTGGAACACAAGACTTCAGATCGATTTCCAACAAAACCGTCAGGTAGGATAGGAAAGCGTAGACGCAGTATAAATGAACCCGTCCTCCGCGCGATGTTAAGGTACCAATTTTCGTGCGCGCGACGCGTGGTAATTGCGTACGACTGTGCATATAATGCTCAAATCATAAATCATTTAGTCTATTCAAGCTCCGAAATGCTAGAAGAAAAGGTAGTGCGCATATATGCTTCCGCTTGGCAAAAGGGAAAAAGGCTTAGGGGTAGGCGGAAACGAAGTTTGGCGGAGGAAAGACACCCATTTGGAGATTGTTTTGCCAGAGACTGGGCAGTGCTATGGGTGCGCCTCAGTGGACCTACTGGCACAGTTCATGCATCATTAGCACTAAGTTCTGTACCAGTAGTCCTTGTAAGCCTATAGGCAATGTGGTAGGAGACAAACATCAAAAATTACGGGTTTGTTAATGCGTCACCAATGATGCAACTACGAATAGATCCAGTATAAAATTAGGTATAAAGTGACGAAAATGAAATCAAACTGATAAATAGAGAACTCACTTGAAGTCATGTTGGGATAGAGCAGATTACCGTACCCGAATCGAGGTAGATAAGTAGCGTATGCTGAAAGGGGATATATTTAGAATAAAATGAAATATATGAATCAAAAGTGTCATTACCAAGCAGTTGTTCTGGTGGTAGTCCATACAGATTCCGAGCAGCAGCAGCACGTGATTTGTTTAACTGCACAGGAAGCATTACCTAGATTAAAATATGCTGGAGATCAAGAATATGAAAGAATTGAATATGAAAGAGTAAAAAATACTTATGGAAGAAATTACCGGAAAATTTTCAAAATTTTTGAAGGAAAGCTACAGCTACAGATATGCAACAAACCTCCTTTGGCTGCGCTTTCTTGCATTCAACCATTTTTCCGTTGATCTCATGAAAATGTATCTCACAGACTTTGTCGGACACTTCGTCGTTGTCAAATGTGATGAAGCCAAAGCCTGAAAAGGCTGAGGTAAACTTCAGAAGATCTATAAGTACCATTCACACCACAGAATTTCAAAACCTTTGATCTGCGAAAAAGTTTAGAAGAATTTAAATTGCGGCCCTTTTATGGTTAATGCCCAGTGAGAGGCCAAAATCTCGGAATTTGCTGAATTTATTCATGGAGGAGTGATTAGCAATTAGTTCAAAGTGAATGATATTGCATGATACATCACCGTTCTCGGGTTCAAAGTATCAGCAAACGAGAGTTTGACCCCTTACCGTACACCTACCGTAACCTCGCAGGCCCTATTTTCGATATCAGAACTACAAAACACACCTCTATGACGTTGTGTAGCTTTATCGAACATTAGCATTGCATCTTCTACCTGTAAGATATATCATCATGGAATTTTCTTTACTCCTTTGATCTTCTACTAAGTCTGCAACCTAGGTACTCTACCGTACCCAAGTACGTGCTGGGGACCTAACGCTATTACTGGCACTTCTATATCTGTACTGTACGTTGCCTAAGGATTTATACTCGGGCAACAAGCCAATGGTTCAAGACTCGCATGAAAACTAAAGAGTAAGTTCGATGTTTGTTGTGTAATTACACCAAATGCTATACATGAGCAATTGACTAGTACCATTCGCATGTTACCCGCTAAATATTTGCTTCTTGACTGCTTATAGTATCTACTATTTCTGTTGTGCCTAACTTTGATCAATTACAGTACCCATTCGCGTTGTTATTCTGGTCTCACAACGATTTGTGGCTGCGCATTGGCGCCAGGCGCATCCGTCAAACCAGCCATCACACCATGGAGACAACGCTCGAAAAAACAATAACAAACGTCTAGATGCTCCTAATGACTCGACTAATTGACTTTCTAACTCACTTCAAGTTCAGAAATAAATTTTCATAGCTAAAAAATTGAAAAGAGCGAGAGAAAAGGAAAATATTGGAAAAATTACCTTTCCATATTGCTCGAAATATGTCTTCATATCCTCAAGGGTCGAGGAGGCCGATAATCCACCGATAAACACTTTCTTTGTTTTGGTAACCATCTAAATTACTATTCATCAAATCTCAAGAAGAAAAAAATGACAACAATTTTCTACTAGAACCAAAACTTCCCACTCTCACGCTGCACACTCCCGCATCACACTAAAAATCAAACAACGCTATAGTTTGAACTTCAAATTTCAAAGATACGGTGACTGTGTATCTACCGTGACTGCGACCCTCTACTGTCGCAAGCTATAAATCTACTCAAAACACTACTTACACATGCTACATCTAATCTCCCCTTCAGGATCGACCACCATTCTATAGTTACATCCGACTGGTAAACTAGTAGATAAGTGGTTAAACCTGTTTGATAGTGAGAGGGAAGTCCCAAAGGTGTCTATGGATCTACGACTACAAGCTTTATGTTCAAAGATCTCTAGACCTAACCAAGGGGTAAAACTACATCAGAATCATCTCCAAATTCACCTTTTTTTCTTACCATCATGCTTTTTTGAAAAACTAACGCCTAAGACTTTCATTCTGCATTAGTCCGCTTTACCTACAACCATGCTAGCACTCATTATCGGTCAATCGCACCAAATAAGATCGGATACTACATGCGCAGGATTACAGTAGCATACGCTAGGTGCAAAAGTCCAGTCACCAAAAAGCGAACATTGTTTACTCGCGCTCCAGAATATACTCTAGTATTAGGAGTGGATATAGTGAAGAACACATATTAATCATGCTCCACCAGTGCGGGCATCTGACACAACTCATGCGCCTCCACGCGCCATAGCCTATCCCACTTGTCCGCACAGGCGAAGCCTTTTGGCTGTGTAATGTTCTCTACGTAGTCGAACTGTCAAGAACATTTAGAATGTTGACCCTTTCGTCACTGCGATCTTCTCCAACTTCAAAAGCTGATTAGCCTTCCAGTGCTAACACTTAGGTATTCAGATTTGTATACAAATACTTAGTATTATATTTCTGTCCAATCTTCGTCACCTTAACCCTTCTTTCTCCTACTCCTCACTCTTCCTCCTTCCTCTCCCTTCACATCTTTTGCTTTCCAGGCCTCAACTTCAATCTCTTCTGCAATCAAAATACTCCACACTAGGTAAAGCATTCAACTGAGCCCCCGTTGTGAAGCAGCGCGCAAAATGGCCGGAAGCATGTCCACTATGGAGGTGCGGAGCAATTTTCGTCGATTTTAAGGAGCGCATAAGTGGATGGCGCAGGCTACAGCCGTATTAGGACGGTGTGAATGTAAGGAGTAGCGGAACATTCTAGATTCTAGATAGGCGCCGCCCTCGCGTACTGGTACTACCATATGCTACTGCCGATAACCAGCGGTTCGCGCAGGCGGTGCTTAGTGGCGGAATTCGTTCCTCTACCCAATCTAAGCAAAAAACAGAAAACGCACAACGCCGGCCGTCGGATAGAGCGGTGCGGCGGCCAGTGCCATTCTTCCACCACCACCACGACGAATACGTTGATGGCGAACGGGACCAGCTGAGGCGGCGGCGGTAGCTGCAGCGGCGGTGGTGGCGGCAGCGGTGCTGGCAGCTAGCAGAATAGCGTAATCCGGAAACGTGGCCGTTAGTGCTGTGCCGACGAAGGCGTCCGTTTGACTTTCTGCTGTCTGAGAGTTTGCTGCACCTTTCGCAAGCTGCTTATTCAGCAACTCTAAGGGCACAGCGGGGGACGAGCGGAGACTCGAAGTGTGGGTGCGTGGGTAATCGAATCGACACCGATTAGCACAACGGCACTTGTGTGTGGCGTGTGAATAAGCGGAATAGTACACAGGAAGACGAACGGGAATGCGACGAAGATGGAGACGAAGGCGACGGACGCTGTCGAGTAGCCGAACAAGCGGCTAACTGCAATTATTGCTGTGCAAATGCAGCATTTTCGTGAAAAACCAGATTTAGAAAAACGTATACACGCGAAGAGATTGGGTTATTTGCGCAAAATGAAAAGAAATAGACAATAGGCAAGATTTTCAAGGAAGAAAAAAAATTTCAAAGAATTAAAATTTCGAGTGCTCTGCGCCATAATCTCGAAACAGGTCAAAAGGTGAATAATGCGTAACGACAAAGTTTTGCTTCTTTACTTAACAATGAATTGCCTTATAAGGAAAACTTTGCGATGACAATATGACTTAAGCCAGTACGTTGCCCCAAAAGTCCAGATTGCCTCCAGGTAAGGCCAATAACTATGAGAATCGCAAATTCCAAGTTGGGTTTACTGGTATAAAAGAAGAACAGATCAGACGGGATTACTGAATTACGAACTTTGATTGCAACAAAGATTCTAGTTCATAGCTCCAGTACAGTTCCCAAGTATTTCCCTACACCTACATAGGTGACAGAAATTCACTAGGCTGGAGAAAGGCACTGACAAAGGTGAAAAGGCAAGTCAAAAAAAAAGTCAAACCAATCACTGATTGGTTCCATCAAGTTTTTGCTACTTGACCGAAATTCAAATGTTCACAGTCCGTAGAGCGCAATGGAAATTTATACAATTACTCCTTCAAAAGAATTTTAAAAAAATGAGAGAGCAAGTAATTAGAAGGACTGGGAGCGCATTCCGAGAACCACAAAACTTCGTCGGCAGACAAAATAGTCTGCAGGAGATTCACTAGCAATCGGAAGTCCTAAACATTGCTTGAAGCAAAAAAAGGTTTCTGCTGATGCCATACATAAAAGCACTAGCAGAAAATACTCCCTCAACGGGAGGTCCAGTTCAAAAAGGGGAGTGGCTAATGGGCGGGGCTAGATACCAAGCTTACTAGCCAACGTAGCAAAACAATTCCTTTATGGCAGGAACTAGCAGAAAACGATATAGCAGCCCAAATTTTTCAACTAAAAAGGGAAATTGATTAACAAAGTGCAGCAGAGTATTCTAGATGATCTCTAACGTTTGCAAAATGATTTTAAGTGCTGACGCATAGCGAAATTTGATATCTAATCTGCAGCAATACATTGAAATTTGACACTACATAGATTGGTAGTGGCGGTTTGGAGTGTTTCTGGATGTATCATTCGGAGACATCAAAGTATGCGAGAAACTAGTTCGATGCCAGGTTTCCTGGAAATTTTCCAGAAAACCAAGAAGAAAGACTAATAGAATGCATGTCGGCATAGCGGCAGCCGGCAGCAAACGTCCGAAAAACATTTCACATTTCACCAACTCGAAACTCCTCATGTTTCGGCTGAAGAAATGAATGAACGAATGAAATATGTATGCGCGAGGATTGGACCAGATTTTGAGGCGCCGCACATTAGAGCTGCACATGAACTGCGGCGGCATGCTGCTGCTATTGCTGCTGGTCGCAATTACGGAACAAGTTGTCGATGCAATACACAACGACACACATTCGTTACATACACCATAACAACATCTTACCAGTTACATAGAACTTGTATGATGCTATTACTCTCTCTCTTTCTCTCTCCGACACCTCATCGACGATTGTCGAAGTGCATGTGGATGAGAGAACAATGACACTTTTTTATGATTTGACACAAGTATCTGGTTTTGCTTCACAATGACGACCGCAGATGTAAAAAAAAGTTTGCTCGAACATTCTGTCGAGTTTTTTTTTGACACATCTGAGCATCCTCATTGTCGCCGACGGCGAAAAAAAATCGTATACTTATCACATGATTAGCTGTTCTCCTAAATACCAAATTTACTGAGGGAGATCTACGCGATTTACATAGTGAGTTGATTTAGCTATAGCTCAAAGGCAATATTTATCAACCAGCCCCCCCCCCTCCGAATCTCTCAGCGGAGTTTTACCGCTAGGGAGCGCCCGATCGGGTGATGAGCACTAGTTCAAAGTGGTGAAACTGCCCTGGAGGTCGGGAGATTGACAAATATCGCGCCAGAACCCAAAGACTTGAGAGTTTACCAAAGGATCAACTAAAAAGGTACGGATGATTTGGCTTGCTGTCCAGACAACATAAAAAAAGCAGTGTCCCAGCAAATTTGGGTCTTGAATTCCATATGTGGGCTGATTGGGAAGCTTCGAGTAAGCAAAGGCAGTTCGTAAAATACATTCGTAGCCAAAAAAATTCGTCTTCGTCCTCTTACCCATTACTGTATCCTTCTCGAGCAAACAGCGACCGCAGGTACAGTACTGGGCGAGGATTCGGAAATGAATTTATCGGTCGTGAATGAGGCATACGACTTGTTACTTGGGTAATGGCTTAGGTAAGGCCTCCCGACCACGATTCAAACAAGATTTAGGTAACAGTCTGAATGCTATTTTTAACCAGGTATCAGTAAAATAAATTGCAAAAATAAGGTTTTACGCTGAAATATTCCATGGAATTGTGAAAAAGAAATTCAAGTCTCTCATGCAGCTTGCATTTATACTCCAGCAGATACGATGTTGCCATGCATACTGATGAGAAATATGAAACTTTTGTTTGCACACTTTTATTTCCAGCTATAGCGAATCTATATAAAAAGACAAAAGGCAGCATATTTGAGTCGTCTGTTGAAATTCTATGCTTATAAGAACTTTTCGTAACACAAAAGAACACATACGGAAGCAGAGTTCTTCTAAGGGACTGGAAACTTATGTAGGATATGACTCCTCAGCTATACAGGTTTATACTGAAAAAAAGGGGGGGGGGGAGATTGTTACTTCGTTCAGGAAGCAAAAAAGCAGTTTAAAGGCAGCGTCCAGGCAGATCTGAACCTGTGGAATTTTACGTGGAAAGTACTTTTGGGGCCCTAACTAAGGCACTGCCCAAGCGGCAGCGCACGTAGTGCTTTAACGGCAGAGATACTCCCCTCGCCTCTATGCTAAATATACATAAATGCTTTTTTACAAACTTCCCAAATTTCCTCCCCCCCCCTTCTTCGAGACCACAAAATCTTTTACTCGTAAATTTCCCATGCGAAGTTTTGTGGGACTGTCCCAGTGATATGCAAGTGGAGATAAGAGTCTGCCAAAATTTTTGTAAACAGGATGTCGGATAGTGGAAAAAAAACAAAGAAAGCCAAGAAGCACTAAGATACCCAGAGATCTCGTCACTAA